CATTTCAGCTCTGTCCGTGTGACCCAGGTTCTCGCAATGGCACCCAAGTCAACGTGTATTGGTCGTGATGAAAAAAGGAATGGATCCGTTTTGTGCCGGGGAGTGTCAATTTAATTGAAGGCTGAACGATTAATTCATGGTTGTTTGCTCAAACCCAACTCCTCCATATTTTTCGTGGGAGTCATCCATCTATCGGTCATCGTCTCATCGTTTGCTACTCAGTGGAAGAGAAAAAACTATCAGAAGTTTTTTGTGATTTATTTTTATAATATTTATTCTTAGACTTTGTGTACAATAACCTAATGGTCGGCTCTATATTGGTGCAAAAATAAACGGTTCTTGAGTTACCAGTTCGCTTCCTGGTTTGTCGTGTTAGTTATTACGCATAGTTCCTGAATGTCTTCCTAGGATAGCGTGAGGTCCATTGTTCTAAGACCTGGACATTGAGAAACATCGATGTCCTATTCGTGTCCACAATCTTTTCTGTTCCCTCTGGTACTTTACTCCTTGCTTTTTGTATTCTATTTCCCTCTTAGTGGAAGTTTCACATATCTGCAGTAAGACTTAAGTTGAACAGGATTTGAAGCCACTTACTTATATATAGCATAACATCTTTCACTGTTTCGGCTAGAAATAACTGTTGAAAATTCCACTGTCACCATATCAGGACGCTGTAAAATAGGCAAAGTTAAACTTTCGACACTACTAACAACCAATCAGCAAACGATTTGAACGGACCAATCACATTAAATAGGCACTTATGTTAAATGGAAAAGTATATCTATAGAAAAAAGCATAAAAAAGCGTAAAACGGTTACAGGGAGTATCTTTCCCTAGCATGCGGGAGGAACATCTCTCAGTTTAGCGTAGGACTTTCAATGGAGAAGTCACATCACATTCTATGCATATATTCATTCAAATGACTAAAAATGGTATGCTTTTGAGATCCTTTTATAGCCCTTATTCTTTTTTTAATCGGCCTCAAAAGCCTTCAATAGAATTTGTATGAGTTCTCGTATCGGGATCCACGAAATCCCTCGAATGGTTGACACGATGATGAATATATCCTAGGGTTGACAGGGAACTATAGTATTTCCATTCGTATGTATGTACTATTGATCCACGTTTTACAAGTCTCATAATAATAGGTATTAAAGTAGTCGCCTTTCTGTCTGCTATCCTTTCGACGAATCCAAATGTCGTTCGCTCGCTGGTGACCACCGTTGTGTTTCTTTTTCACCGAAACTGTTTCATCCATGTGCACGACGCTGCCCTCTCCGCCCAACAATGTAGTAATTCTCTCCATTTTCCATGATGCGATGTCTCTGCAATGCTGGCACCAATGAACTGTTGAAACCAGGCTATTCTCCGCCTGAGCAGCTGCAGCTATCACTGGCTGTTTTAATACCCAGTAGTTGCAGATATACAAAATTTGCGTCAAACAGAGGTGTGACTTTGCAAAATCGTCCCTACGAAATATAAAAATTATCAGCTTACCTTCTTTAATGCTAACCCACTTCAAGCATTTTGCACAATGATGAACAAATCCATCAGTTGAAGTGCTATAGCTTTTTAAAGTCATGACACAGCAACACGAACAATACTGGCAAACACCGTCCTTCTCTAATTGCAAACGTAACCTTGTAAGGGCACGCATTTGAAAGGAATCAAGAGCTATGCAACATTGAACTAACGTTCGTGAATCTCGTTGGTTAATTCGACGTAATTCGCTGACTGGTAGTTAGTGGTGATTAAGGTTTAACTTGGCAGTAAAATATTTTTATACATTCATCATGCAGGGTCTAAAATGGTTTAAAAATAGCTTTCAACATGTTAACCAACTCACTCGTACAGAGCAGCCATGCAGCGAAAAATGGCGGCTGACCTGGACGCAGTTAAACGAACCTGTCTGACAATTTCTGATATTACATTGGGTACAATTCATTTCAGGTGCTACTTACGATGAAAATGCTGATAAAATTATCCAAATATACCACATATTTTAAATTACTACCCAATTTGGATATAAATAAAAATAAAATTCGATGCCATACACAACAAAGTTATATAAAGGAATTGACTTCAAGCTTTATTTTTTTAGGTATTTGTAATCCATACAACATATTTGGGTGTTTTTGTTAACGTGGAGACAGTATTTGTATATTTATTGATGTGCTCTACCGAATGACCAGTTAGCAAATTGTTCCCACAAAGTGAAGACAAAAAGACAGCAACCATGTAATTTCACCATAGACCAAATTTATATAACATAAATAATACTTACCCATTCCTGTACAACTGGTGTGTCTTGCGTAGATAAGAATAAATATATTATTATATATACACGCCAAAGCACATACAGTGGATGAATATAAAGAATGATTTGTCATGTCAGGTCCCAAGGAACTCGCTATTGAAAGGTGTGTAAGTCTATCACTGCGGGATCACTGACCACTAGGTAGACACTGGTAATAAAATTGATATATTAAAGTTATTTAAGACCAATAAAGTCAAGGTAAGCTTCGTTTTACCACGTAGCGCAAGAGCCTGAGCCATTGGTCTGTTCAAACCTAATTCATGCTTTACCAATATCGTCCTATCATTGTTAGCATATTCTGTCATTGAATATCCAGTTTCATTTCTGTTACAGCCACTACGTGGTTGACTTGCGAGGAAGATACGAACTTGCAGACTCCAATGGAATAGTCAGTCTAAATACCGAATTATTCAAAACAGAGTCACTTTAAAAACAAAAATGTCAAAGACATTACGAAACTGTTCTATTTAGGAAATACATCAAGTAATTATACTATGGATTTCGAGCTTACGGTTATCCAGTTCCATAATACAAACTAGACTGAGGGTAACCGGAATATTCAAGATTGTTCACTGGAATTAACGTAATGGATGTAGAAAATGACCGGCGGGTAATAAGGGTGTGAATTCAAAGAAATAATCTGCAGCAGTTCAAGATGAGCCTCTTTTTATACTCTTATCCAGATTACTTTTAGCCTTTCTTCAGCTAAATTATTCAGCCCTTCTGTGTTTGTGTTAGATTTCTACTAAGTTCGCAGCATTCATTTTCAACTCTAGAATATTCTGGTAAGCATTTGTATACAATAAAAGCCTAACAAAAGACTTTCTGCTGATCTTGCTGTTTAACTACGTGACAATTATAGCCTTTAAATTCAAGATAAATAAGTGAAGCATGTGAATGCATGTATATTGATATTACAATTATTCCACATCGTATTCAGTTTAAAAAGTAAAATGAAGTTATGTCATCCTGCTTATATTTTTGTAGCTTGAAAATCCCCACTGAGCCATACGAAAAAGAGAAGACGTTCGGCTGAACGTCTTATAGCAGTCCATCTTCTTAGATTTATCAGCAGACCTGAGAAAGGAACTTAATCTGCTGTTAACACTCTTATCTATTGGCGTAAGGCGTATTTACCCACGCTTTCTCTAGGAAGTATTGTTCGATAAAGGGTAACTTGTCTCAAGACCATGCTCTTCCTTTGTGAAAAGTTTATTGCTCTCCAAATACTGAATAAAGGCACGACAAGCTGTCATCCCTAGTTGTTTGGAGACAGTAGCAGTTATAGCTATGGGATGGTGGTTTCCTACCAAATTGCTAAATCAGGTTTTGAGGATAGGGTGGATGATTCCAACTGTTGGCTAAGATTAGGCGAGTGTCATATTCAGTAGCTACAATAAGAATTTGGTCATATCTTCGGTCAGTTAAGATAGAATTGATAAACTGTGTTACCAAGGCCAATGTATTCAGTATGGTTGAGCTCTAGATGAAATGTTATGAATGCTGCTTTCTCAATGAGTTGTGGTCTCATTCCTAGATCCGATAATAAACGTGCGCTAACTGAGGAGGCCGATAAATGATATAGTGCGCCGCCAGTGGACCCGTATGGGGAACGATGAGTTAGGCGTACTTGCTACGGTGACCGGCTGGAGGTTGTGTGACCAGAGGAAATCACATGGGAAACAGTAGCGCCAGTTATAGGGGACTGAAGAAAGGAGTACAAAATGGAGACGTGACGTTGAAACCCTATGTTCCACTCAAGTGAATAATGATAGCATAACTAACCTTCTGACAGGAAACTTGAGTATGCTGATTGGACATTTCTTAGACATTGTTGAAATATCATCAGCCAAATTTACCAGACCTCCACAGACTAGAAGATAGAGAATCCGAGAAAAGATTTCTGGAAGAGCTGTATGAGTTCCTCCTCGATTCGCAAACAGAATCCTTACGATGATTTTGACTTTTGATTTACAGCTAGATTCCACACTGTATTTTTGGTACAAGTATGGAATTTTCAGCATGGATATCGGTAGCCCAAATTTTTGCAGGCCGACCATAGATATCAGGTGTGCGTCGGCGGAGGCTCGAACCTCGGACCATGTGCATGGTCGGCGAGAGTCCTAACCACTGTGCCACCGACGCACAGACTTCACTAAATTTCGGCTGAAAGTAATGCAACCCAAAAAATGGTACTATAAACGTTTCCCCTCCTTAGTGCAATGTCGCAAACTGTCTATTAACTTATGAGAAAAGGTTTGTCAAATGCTTTATATTATGTGATAAATCAAACTTTGGAACTTCCGTATAGCATTTGTGTGGTACATCTTGAAAATCAACCACTGAAAGTATGTTGCTTTGAACTTACAGTTAAGGAACGGACAGATTACTCAACACCAAAGAGGGAGGTCGAAAATATGATTTGGTTGTTACTAGGTCGTGAAAAGCAGGTAGCATATTACATGAACAACCCTAGATAGGATATAATTAGGAAACATGTGAAAATGACAAATAACAGCTGCATTGTCTCCCATGGTTTTAACTTGGCATTGGTTTGTTGGAATCGATCAGTAGTGTTTACTTTCAAGAGCAATATGTGAAGTTGGTGATATGATTTATAGGGTGAGGGTGGTGATTTTGGTTTATTTCTTCCGCTTTGGCGAGATTTATCTTAGCGGTTAGAATGAAGTCAAACTCAAAACCTGGTTCCAAAAAAACTGCTACCGATACAAAAAGACGAAATGAAAAGCAAGTAGCTCAAATGTCTAAAATGCCCTCTAATGTGGTTTCTACAATTTCTCAAAACAAATTGAAGGAGATTCGGAGATACTTTGACTGTATGCTGTGTCTTTCTGTGATATAATTTGATAGGTCCAAATTTAACAGGGCAAAAGAGTCTTGCAAATGAATCCAGCTTAGAAGCAGTAAGATCAGTCTGACCCCCGTACATTCTCATGCTTAGAATATTTCGAACAAATCATTTGACAGCGAGGTGATTATTGATTCTGTTATGAGGAAGGTTGTTGAGCTAAACCGTGATAAACTCACAGACGCATCCCTTCTAAAAGTTCTCACCTCAGTATATCTAGATGCAAAATCAAAGCTCGAAGATAATGGTAATCATTCGTGCTAATTTCACTAATTACTTTATAGTTTCGAAGAATTCAGTCCACCAGGTACATGAGTAATTTGCCATACATATTCTAAGAACTTGAATTCTATAAGCGCTTCAAATATTCCTTTAGACTTAAAAAAGTCTGTGTCAGAAGGGGACAATATGCCAATATCAGATGAAAATTTCCACCAGCTAAGGGAAGAAGGTAGGTATTGTACAGTTAGTATCACATCCTTATTGTTTGTCTCATGAGGTTGTTAAAATATTTGTTATCCTAACTTCAGCTGGGTTTGCAGTGAGTGCGACCCATGAATCTGCAGACAAACTACTAGCCAACCCTGTAACTGACTCAGATTTGTCGAGACAGAAGGACTTATATATTCAGTCGAACAAAGGAGCCTCTATATCTTCGGACAGACGTGATGCTGAAACGACAGAGAAATTTAAGGTTAATGGCACTTCATCTAATGGTATTCAAACAAGCGTTGTTTCCGCCTTCCCTCCAGCTCTTACTCCTATGGCATTTGGTTCTGGACAGGACGCCCATTTGCTAAAACAGGTGTGCCCAACTTTTTTGATTACCAACATGTTATTTTTTGTTTCAGTAGTCACACTTAAACTTTTAATAATCTTTAGATATAAAGTTTGTAGGCTTGTGCAGAGACAAATAATAACCTGTTGGCATTAGTCGTGTGTACTAACTTTGTTTTCACCTCCAGTGTTGTAAAACATGACAGGCAGTGGGTTTCATGTTTATGTATCATCGCACAAATCAGTTTAACTTCTGCTGGTTGTCTGTCTAAATTGACTTTCGTATTTTTGCCAACATTGGGCTATTTCTATTTTGATTTCACTGATAACTACCGTATACTTCGTCTGTTTATTCTGGAGGATGGTTTCAAATTAACTTGCTTGACTTAGAAGTATATTGGCTAACAATATCGTCACGTAAATTTTATTCAATGATTGACTACCAGTGTGAGTAATTCAGATACATCTTAATGCTAGGATTTTTATAATCAGCAGTGCGTCGGGGGCACAGTGGCTAGGACTCTCACCGACCATGTACATGGCCCTGGGTTCGGTCCCCTGCCGACGCACACCTGATATCTATGGTCGGCCTGCGAAATTTGGGCTACCGATATCCATGCTGAAAATTCCATACTTGTAACAAAAATACAATGTGGAATCAAGCTGTAATTAAAAAAATAAATAATTATCGTCTCTTTCGCCGCCATTCTGGCGCTGCAGTCTCTTTTCACTCTTATTTGTGGTATCATGTATCAGGTATCACAGTGTTAATAGCTATTTCCTCCATATAATACACATTAATTCTCCTCTCCTTATCTTTTCTGTGCATTTCAGTATCTAATTGCAACCACCTTTTTCATAATGTTTCAAAATATGTCACCTTTATGTGACAAACCTCTTAAAAAAGCTCTACCTTTACTCAGTTGTGTTGTTCACGCACTGACTACAAAATTCACAGGTTGTTATTCACCAGTTAGTCCGAACATTTCTGATTGTGCAACTTTTCTTTTTTCGTTCATTCTAGACATCAGTTTCTAGGATCTACTTTACATTAAATTACCAGGTAACGGTTCATCACACACAGGTGCATTTTTCTCTCATTCCGTGATCATACGTCGAAAATCAGTTTCCTAAGTAGACATAATGTATCATATTACTTCATATGACTCTATTGTACTGGACTTAGGCAGTAAAACTCAGTTTTTCTTATAGTGCGGAATTCCTCTTGATTCAACCTTGAAAAGTGCAAGTGTGGTGTGAATGACATGTTCATAAAACTCAAATCACTTTTTCCTCCTCTCATTTCTTAAATGTTACGCATCTTTTGTCTCTTGAATTTTCGGCACTATCAGAAATGTATATTTACTTGTTGTGAGCTTTAATTTCATTTTTAGGAAGAAAATCGTCGACAATGGAAAGCTGCATTAGACGAACAGCTAAAAGAACAGCAACTTAAGCGGGAGAAACGTATACAACAGACACAGAGGAAAGGTGGAGATGATAAACATCAGGAAGAATCTATTGCAAATGATCTACAACACGTTGACACTCATTCGTGTGTTAATGGGTCGAATAAACTAGGGTAGGTCACTAAGAAGATTTTTTTCTGTATATTGTTTGAACAAAATTCCTTCTTAAATCAGTAGTGTTTTTCGATTACTCAAATTTTTACATATCTAATATTACTGTCTGTCTGTCTGGATTCAACATAGAACTTGGCACCGAAGTGCACCACTTCGAGTTGCCACGTTCCAAATAGCACACAGAGGTAGACAAGAAGATGAGTGAAGAGAATCAATAGAGTTTGACAAGTATAAGAGTGAAACAGAATGGGTAATGGTAGAAAGGAATATGAAAGATTACAGAAACTGAATACATCCGCGCTGTCATTGACCACGATTTTGAGCCATGTCACCTATTGTCTCCAGCCATTGATTCCTAGAGTCCCGAGGGCCCCAACCCGGAAGTCTGCATCTCCCTCCCTACCTGACTCAGTTTAACTGTCAAGGATTTCATGGATTGATGAGGCCATGCTTTTGTTTGGCCACCACTTACTCTTTTCCAACCTGCACCTATATCAGCTAGTAATTCCCGTCGGGCGGGGGGGGGGGCGATGGTTAGGCATGCGCACCACGTGATCTAGCCATCTCAATCTATGTAACTTTATAGCCCCGTTGATTGATTTTCCCTCTTTGCTCAGCACTCTACGCCTAGCGTCAACATTACTTACCTTATTAAACCACCTAACGTGAGAGAGGGATCGCAGACATCTATGATCGAAAGCAGTCAACCTTCTCATGTCTTCAACGCGTATTGGCCATGCTTCAAAGCCATAGAGAAGGACGGAGCGAACTGCTGAGCAGTACACACGTCCCTTGGTTGATAGCCGGATGTCACGCCTACGCCAGAGATGGTGTAAGTCAGCGAAAGCAGCTCGAGCTTTTTGGATCCGTGCTGAGATTTCGTCGCCAATCAGTCCGTTGGTGCTAATACAACTTCCCAAATAGGTGAAGTGGTCAACATGTTCTATCACTTCACTCCCTATCACTAAGCTAGGAGTTGACGTGGTCCAGTCCTGTAGCAGCATCTTGCATTTTGCAGGGGCGAGTCGCATGCGAAACATACGAAGATTGCTGCTCAAGGTGTTCAGAAGTCTCTGCATTTTGTCAGCATCCTCCCCTAACAGGACTATGTCATCTGCATACTCTAAGTTCATAAGACTATTCCCTGGTAACAAGTCGATTCCTAAGTCGTTGCGTTCAGTTAAGGATACTTCCATTAGCATATCTATGATGAAGTTAAACAGGAATGGGAAAGTGGGAAGCCCTATGTTCCACTCGGAACACAAGGGAATGATAATAGTAACAATACTTCCTACTCAAAACGTCATCCAGTGGTTAATACTGCATCACTGTGTAATAATTAAAATAAACTTATCTAATATTGAGTTTTTGATTTGACTCATAAATGCGTTGACAGGTTTCTTAATCTTCTTATATGGACCTGTCTGAATATGTTCATTAATCTTACTAATGTAATCCAATCTTTCTATAACAAATAAATAAGCATTTAATGTCATCTTCAACAACTAAGATTGTGAAAAACTACAAGCCTTTTTGATTGTATTAGCTTCAATTGGAACTATTAAATCTAAGCTAAGACAAATGACTCTATAATGTTTTCACAATAACATGTAAATGAAGATTCATCGTAATGCTGTTGAGTTGTTGTAAGTTTGTGGTTCTCAGATTATTCTAATGGCTGTTGGAAATATGCATAAAAGCTTGTTTATCTGTTCTTTTAGTTCGCTTATTTTTGGGGTATTTAGATTACGTTTTGAACAGGAAAAAGAGTATCTGCAAAAAGGACGTTCTCCAGGATCATCAGTATCCTTTCCAGTGAATTAACTTTAATCCTTTGAAGTGTATAAAAGTACCTTTAAGATTGGAATATAGAAAATAATGACATATAGTCGTCAATCGACTACCCTACCATTACAATATTTTCTAGAATAAAAGTTTCTCCCTTCAGAGCTATTGTTGAATAATTTATTTATTCCGACTACTAACTATTGAGTTACAAATTCAACTCCAATCCACTTGCTCCAATCTAAACGATAGACTAATATTACTTAGTAAGTATGGTTGTTGACGTGTTACGCCATTCCATTTGAGTATTACACACTTATCACTTATTCGCTTTCCTCTAAAATCTGTATCCCCTTTCGCTTCGCTTGTCTAACAAGTTGCTTAAGTGTGATGAAACTATGTATAAAACTGGTGTTTAGTTGTAAATAAAAGTGGAGATTTGCATTTATAAGTGTGAACCTTATCTACCTGTGATATTTTCTTGAAAAAAACTTCTATGCTGTTGAAGTGTTCCTTTGAATTGTGACTTTGAATTACAGTTTTTCACATGTCACACAGTTTCAATGAATACAATGCTATCCTGTCGTCAAAGCTTTATTCTCTTTCTCAAATCGATTATGCTAATTGTTTTGTTTTAAACTATTATATATTTCTGTTATATTGGATTGGTTGGATTATGCGAATGTTCAGTGTTCATTTTGTATAGTTTTTTTCCTGTCTTTGCTAAATGTGCGTCGGTGACACATTGGTTAGGACTCCCACAAAGGCAGTCAAGAAGGGAATCAATAGAGTTTGACAAGTATAAGAGTGAAACAGAATGGGTAATGGTAGAAAGGAATATGAAAGATTACAGAAACTGAATACATCCGCGCTGTCATTGACCACGATTTTGAGCCATGTCACCTATTGTCTCCAGCCATTGATTCCTAGAGTCCCGAGGGCCCCAACCCGGAAGTCTGCATCTCCCTCCCTACCTGACTCAGTTTAACTGTCAAGGATTTCATGGATTGATGAGGCCATGCTTTTGTTTGGCCACCACTTACTCTTTTCCAACCTGCACCTATATCAGCTAGTAATTCCCGTCGGGCGGGGGAGGGGGGGCGATGGTTAGGCATGCGCACCACGTGATCTAGCCATCTCAATCTATGTAACTTTATAGCCCCGTTGATTGATTTTCCCTCTTTGCTCAGCACTCTACGCCTAGCGTCAACATTACTTACCTTATTAAACCACCTAACGTGAGAGAGGGATCGCAGACATCTATGATCGAAAGCAGTCAACCTTCTCATGTCTTCAACGCGTATTGGCCATGCTTCAAAGCCATAGAGAAGGACGGAGCGAACTGCTGAGCAGTACACACGTCCCTTGGTTGATAGCCGGATGTCACGCCTATTACTGATCAAAACGATGGTTAAAAATTGAAACATTGAAATCATTATTATTATTATTATTTATACAACTAAAAGTCAATGAAATAATTGTAATTAAGAACTTGTTGATAGAGCACTACTTCCTCATACGTTAAACCAGTCAAGAAACACAACAGTTTTTAATTATGCTGTCACAAATATGTTTTCTTCGACTTTTAGATGACTGCTAAAATTGTTTATTTAGTCAATATCATCTTATTTAGTATATCACACTATCATTTAACAATTTCGCGATAGTGGTAATTCGCAAGTCTACTGTTTTTCCTCAAAGTTGTGGGTCGTACGTTAATCCAACTAGTGTCCATAACCCGACGTAGCCCTTAGGCTTTATTTCTAGACTTCGTGAATGCCCTTAGAGTTGTTTAAAATAGTTCTTACGTATATATCTATATATATGTATAAAGTCAGTAAAGTTTTGAATTTTCCCTGTGCCTAGTCTTCCCATCCTCATCTCCTGCTACTTAAACTGTTGGCTATAAAACGTCAGAAAGAGCTTGACGTGTTTAGCGTAGTGGCTTGTCTCAGTCAATTCAAGCAATTAATCCACCTTTTTGGTAACATATGTGCAATGCACCTCACGATTGCTTTCTAGTGGTTCATTTGATACTTATTGAAGCCTCATTTTATTAGCTGTATGTCATTTAGTATACTTACCTTTACTTTTATATTCAATACGGCAGTTCAAGAAGCACGTTGTTTGTTTTTTGACTGTGTCTTCATTTGCACAAAAGTACATGCATTTTTAAAAAGTTATTTTGTATATGCTTATGTATTTGTGTTTGAAGCAGTAATGTGCGCAACAATGCATTAGTTTCACACCCTTCAGCTAGTCACTTCTTGTCATCGGACTTTTCGTTACCTGACTCGACAGTAAACACCGATTACACATTATCCCATGGAGCAAAGAATCAGTCCAGCAAACTGAGCTTTAATCGTGTACGTGGCTTTACTCAACAAATATACAATGATTCTGTAGAGGCTGCCGAACGAGCAAGACTTGCTCACGAAACTAGAGTAAGTTATAAACTTGATATTTTATCTGGCATATTTATACTATTCATTCTGGTTTCTAAAATGTACGCTTCTTAAGTTTGTATTTGTAAAACTCAGTTTGCCATTTCCCACGGTGTTCTGCATCTTCACCTTTCGTAAACCTGTGTTCATTATTTCTTATGAAACCTGTAAATTGCTTTCCATCCTAAATGCGAGAAGCTTTTAAATCTTTAACGGGAATAAACGGTTAAGAAAATTCCTTATTGGGGAAAGTTGGTTTAGCTCCATCACCATTTAGGCATTACATCACGCATCATAATTATCTTGATAAAACTTTAGTTTGTGTTTGAACAACTCTTTATCGTGTAGAACCTTCAGAGTGTGATAGACGCATGGGATAATAGTTGGTTGCCAAGTTCCATTTCAGTGGACTGTCTTGCTACCCATGATTCTTTAAGGCTTGGTTTAGTTCGAATACCTTGTTGTAGTCAAATTATCACTATGTGCAGGATTGCACCACATTCTCATTCAATTAGTTAATTTTAGCCGAACTTAACAGTCTTTTGACTTTAATGCTCTTGGTATCAAGTTATTACTTACGTATTCATGGGGATAGATTTCACATGAAACTCCTACTACAGTAAGTCATATGTACTAACATCTTCACCGGGGTTTCTTTTGCTATGCATTATTTTGTGACCTGGTGTGCAGCTGTTCTGCGGCTTGGCATAGGTAACAGAAAGAAGACAGCACTTACGTAGTGCAGTAAGATCTGTATACTGTCAAGTGTTTCAGAAGTCCAAAGCCAATAATTTGTTGTATTTTTAGGCGCTGTGCAACATGGTTCGAACATGGAAAACACTTTCAGTTTTCGGTATTAGCTGGTTTTTACTATTTAAATCCTTAAATATATGTGGATCTGTGTTCTAAGCAATACGCCACTTTTATCAATCTTGATGTTATGCTTCTACCTTCCCGCATGGGTCAAAATAAATAACATAAATTTGAACCCCCTGCTTATAGTTTGCACCGATGCCTTCAGATCACAGTTTAACTGTTTAGTTATGCAGATTAGGATGATAGTAGACATATATGTAGACGCATAGTCGACACGTAGGTGATAGTAGACACTCCCACTGAATTCAAGTCTGATTTATGGGATTTCCTACTTCGATGTGCTACCGTCTAGTTTTTTTGCTAGTCGGTGGAGTTTTATCCTTCGAAGCTTCCTACGATTGTAATGATTTGAAAAGATCTTAGGACGATCAATATCGTTGTACTTTGCTGTATTATAGAGAGTATTGGTGACTAGTTCAAATATATACTTTGGCATTGCAAAAAAATGAATGATATTGTTCGATGATTCTTTTCTATTTTCTATTTGTTTCTAGTTGATAAATTTGAAACAGATTGAAGAAAGACGTCGTCAGAAAGAAGAAGAAAAGGCAAGACTCATTATGGAAGAAAAGATGGAAGAAGAGCGTATTGCTCGTGAGCGTCTTCGGCTACAACAGATGGCTGAGTTGGAAAATGCTCGAAAAAAAGCGAAAAATGTAGGAATTGTTGTTTTTTCATTTATTAGTTGATTATTTTCTGCATTACGCCACCATATATTCCACGGATAGCTGAATCTGTTGTACTAGAGTAAGATCGTGTTTAACTGGAAATTCATTGTTATTGAGTGCAGAAAGATGAATATAAAATTTAATACTTACCTAAAACATAATATCTCACCAGTCGTCTGCTCAGGTAACGGCTTTGTTCTTAACTAAGAAAATTGTGAAAGTGTATGTGTTAGACTGATTAATTTTACTTGACTTAAAGTCTAAGATGGACCAATAAGTTGAAAGTTCTGTGTGTAGTTAGCTAATCGTCAGTATCTTCTTCTGCGTAAATTCCCAATAAAAAGTTGGTAGAACAATAGCTATTTCCTCACTAGGTAGAAGCGCTTACCAAAGCGAGCTAGAGATGTTTCCGTGCCTACATGGTGTATAAGATAAAATTTCAAAGGTGAATAGAATGAATGATTTAATTATAAACGATGACTGCCTATCGCCTAGTGTTATGGTTTTCATCATCTTGTATAGACATTTAAAGAAGAAAACAGTAATTAGATTAATTAGTATCTGAACTTTATTCCCTATAACTAAGCTTGATTTATTTTCATTGAGTAATTCCAAATTTTTACATGAATTTCAGTTGGAAGAATTTCAACGTACACAATACTTATATGAATCACTTGCTCGTGCTGAAGAAGAAGCAAAGTTGAATAAAGTTCGAAAAAATCCATGCTATTCTGAAATTCATCAAAATGATGGTTTCCTAGAATTCAATAGAATTCCAAAATCCGAATCTCATAATGCTTCATCTCTTACGGGTGGTCAGACTAAAATTACTAATCCTGCTTTAAGTTTCACATCTACATCTCCTTGGAATGCGTCAGATAACCCGTCTTACAACAATCACTATGTGAGTGTGTAGTTTGTGCATATTAGTGTTTTCTTTACTTGGTTGAAAGCAAATAATGATTATGATGATGAAAAACCATAAGTTTCGATAGACAAAGAAAGACCAGATTTGCAATATGAAATAATATCATTGTATTTCACAGGTTCTCATCAGCTTCAAAATACCTAAAATTACAGTGGTTATAAATAATTGTAATTTGCCTTCTTTCTCTATCGAAATTAATCAAGGGAAGCAAATGTATGAACAACCACAAGTTTTCACACTGTTGTTTTCTGTGGAACTCGTTTCGATACATAAAAGTATAACTGACTAATGCCTCTGACACAACTTATATGCTACTTTTACTGTTTGTTGTAAATCGTCATTAAGGAATTAATAAAGTAACAGAGCGAAATACTTTAACTGAATTATGAAGAGTACTAAGAGCACTTATAAGTAAAGGTTCCAATCTTGAGACTGAGATGTTTTCTGAGCTTGACTTAAGATTATCAAATGCTTCCTCAGGAAGCTGTTCTAACAGCCTTGTTAAACTTGGCACTGAAACGTCTGGTAATCATAACATCAATTGTAGCACTATGTAAAACATTTTCAGTTTTAATTAAATCTAATAGTGGCAACTTTATAACCCTTTAAATGTGTTAATGAATTGTTGATTCATCAAACTTTAAGTATGGCGTCAATTAGAACAAATGAAAGTTCTTGGACAAGGGAAGAACGACAATGTACGAGGATAGTATGAACTCATCTTTTATTATTTCAAGGATTCTTCTCAACTTTTTAAAACCTGAACAATACGATGACACCGAGTAATTGATAGAACTAGAAGAAACATAAGTTCGGTATGATGTAAATTGTTGAATTATTAAGAGGAGTGACTACTTACAGGATAGTTAGACTAATGCTCTTGAGAAAAGTTCAAAATTTTTGGGTGGAGACAAAGTTTAACTAAAAAGGGTAAAACAATATAACAGGTTGCGTAACTACAGAAAACATATTTTTACAAAATAGCAAAAACAGGGGTCGAGTGAGCAATGTTCAGATGGAACAACAGAATTTTTCTAAAAATGACAGAAGATAGGGAAGAATGTATGACTCAATGAAGTTGTATACTGTGTTATGTAATTTTAATCACCAAGGTAGCGCTAGACTCAATGCTTTCTTTCTGCATACATAAATTTGGTTGTAATCATTTGATAGCGATTGACTTGGCAAAACGTAGTGAGCTAGGTTTTTTTTGCCTGTTGATTATTTTAACCGCTTTCAGATTGTCTACAGCATGACCACTGTCCAATAGATGGCGTGCAGTTACACTGTTTATTGTTTGTAATCCCTTTAGTTTCAGGTTCTTAGGTATGTGTTCACTGATTTTATGGCTATTTAATCTGTTTCAAGATTGATTTTGCCACAACCTCACGTCATATAAAGAAGCTTGAAAGCTGAAAGGTTCTATACTCTTCAAAAATTCACATAAATGTTTTGTTGAGAGGTCGAACTGAAGACCGTCAGACTTCCAACTTTTGATGATTCACAGTTTTATGTTCTGCCTATCAACTTAACCACTGTGCGTCGGTGGCACAGTGGTTAAGACTCTCGCCGACCATGCACATGGTCCGGGTTTCGAGCCCACGCCGACGCACACCTGATATCTATGGTCGGCCTGCGAAATTTGGGCTACCGATAACCACACTGAAAATTCCATGCACGTACCAAAAATACAGTATGGAATCAAGCTGTAATCAAAAATAAAAAATAAATAAAATATATGTAATAAGTTAAGTTCCTTCTCAAGAATCTAACTTTGTAGGTCAGAATGAGTCGCTATCTATTGATATTTCTTTTCGACGGAAAAGTCAGATGGTCAAAGGCCTGAATAGAAATCCAGCATGATCCATTGCAAAACACTTATTAGTGTCAGGTCACAAAATCAATATTAATGACTGTTTCACAATTATTTCACATAACTCTAATTCAAGGTTATAAAGCACTTTGAATTCATCACATACAGCCTAAACTGTGTGTACAAAAAACACTAGACTTCAATCTTCTCCTACCATGGACTACATGACCTATTTAAATATAATTGGTCATTAGTATGTACTTTTGTTTTTTATTTAACTGAGTAATTGTCATGAACTTTATTTGATTGTTGTTAACCATGTCAGTTGTAAGCGGTTGTAAAGAAATGATATCATCTAGCGAAAATTGTCCTCTAAATGCCTTATTCAAAGACCAGAACGTTTAAAATGTTAAATAATATTCTTATCGCAGCGATTTTCATAGCTAACTAAATTTTAATTGTCCTACTGCTAACACTTATTTTGTGCAAATATACAGGTACCACTGGTGTAAGTCTCCGTGTATTTTCTCTCTAATGTTTCATTCCTTTGCCTTTCGAGTGGAACGCAGAGCTTCAACTTTGAGTTTTAAGGTTTTTCAGTAGGGGTGGGTTTGTCAGTCAAAAGCGAAACCCTCTCTCTTTACCTGGTTTACAACCGTCTAAGCAAAGGTTAGGAACGTCTGTCGGGAATTGAACCCCTACCATACGCTTGGTTGGTGATTATTCGACAATTGAACCACTCATGTACCTGTCCAATGTTTACAGCATATTATCTTAAATGATCTGGAATAGGTAAACACATTTTTAATTCACGGAAAATACCCATCCGGACACGAATATAAGAACAACAAAGTTCAGCGAAAAGTCTCTTTCCGGTGAATTCATTCACTTAGCTGTACAGTCGTATTTATATACAATTATTTTGAGTGTGTGTCCATTAGGATTGTCAAACAAAACTAAAATAAAAATTAGTAAAGGTCACTGCTTACGTCATCAAATTGTCAATACTTACTAGTCTTCACCCCCACCCTAGTTACAATTTTGATTATCCATCACATTTTAGAGACATTTTGATGACGTAAACGGTAACCTTAACTAATTTTTATTTTATTTTTGTTTGACAATCCTAATGTATACACAAACATGCACACAAAATAATTACATATAAATTCGATTGTACAGCTAAGTGAATGAATTTGCCGGAAAGACACTCTTCGCTGAAATTTGTTGTTCTTATAAACACATTTTGACAATCAAGCTGACGAGTGTATAGAAAAGCTGTCATTTTGTATAGCTGAGATTATGACTTTTCTATTTTCATTATTTGTTGTTTACATATAAGGATACCATTGCTATTTTAATTTGACACTAGTAACTAGTGTGATGTGTCTAGTCCTCTCTTTGGTGCAGACTGAATTCCATCAGTCAAGTTGTAATGTGGCCACCATCCATCAGATCAATGTGCACCGTGATGGCGAGCTACCTGGAATGGTGGTCACATTGCAACCTGACTGATAGTATTCAGTCTGCACCAAAGAGAGGACTAGACACATCACACTAGTTACTAGTGTCAAAACAAAATATTCACTACAGTCCTACAAGAGGTCAATCACGAGCCGGAATAGCTCGGTGGTAACGTCTCTGACTGCAGCACTGGGTGACGCGGGTTCGAATCTCAGAAGGAACATGAGTTCCTTAAAGGTTGCAGATACGCCTTGCTGACGGGTGCCAACTAGCACGAAACCTAGGTCCAAGGCTTCAAGCCGATCACCTCCAACCATCTAATAAGGATACCATCGCATTCATAGCTCCACTAGTATTCATAGGTTATTAGATTGAGCCGTATACAGCATTTAGCCTATATGATACTGAACATCCATTGACATTAAAAAATTATTTTCTTGCCTCCAGGATTTGTGAGTTGAACATTTTAGTATCTCCTGTTACCTTTATCATTTTTATCTTGTTTCTCTATTGCTTTCGTCATTTATGTTTTATTGTTTTTCATTGTTCAGAAATAAATTGATGTTATCCAAATATTCATAACTCCAATCAGAGTTCTTCTTTATGAAGCAATTCTCCACTGTCAAGTGAATGTCGACTTTGATTAGTTCTTAAATTAAATTATAAAAACGTCATTAATTCATGTTGTAAAAAATGCTTATGGAAGTAGGATGTTAAATCCAAGTTAAAGTATACCTTCATCCTTCATTTGTACTTAGACAGTTTGAATTCCATTTAATGTTAAACGCCTTTAATATGAGGAGATCCATAAACTTTTCAAGATTTTTGTGAATCGTTTTAATTTTACCGATGTCATTTATTTCGCCTGATACTATAGTGCATAAGCCCATGGCTGAAGATTTGTTAGTTTCGATTGTGTTTCTCAGTAGTCGGAATAAAACTCTCCGGTTTTTATTTCTTCGGAATTTCAGTTTTAAAGTTTTTTATTGCATCACTGTTCAAACATCTTATTTTGTAGATAACCAGGCTGTAAACTCTTCAAAAGTTTGTCTTTCACACGAACAAGTTTGTTTCGCAGTGTATCTTATTTTCTGATATTTTTATTAAGCAATTTTATGTTCGCATCTGATGTGTGTCCTCTTTAGGGTAGAGTGACTGTTATAGTACATAATTTTGACGTACTTTCTCAGACTCGTTTAGTGTTTTTCATTACATTGTAAATAGAATTCTAGGCATAGCTCTCTCCCCTAAGAATTATAGTTATGTTTTTTGTTTTGTTTTTGATTCATTGGGATATACAGATTTCTAACAGTTTGGTACAAGTAAGAAGCATTTTGTGAAGCTACTTCTAATTACAGCTAAATTTTCGTTCTTTTTCGTAATATTACGTCACGTCATTCATCATACGTCTCGCTGTTTGTTCTCTTTTAGTCTATGGCACCCGCTAAATCATCGTTTGCTATTCAAACTTCATTTCTTGAAGATATTGGCATTCAAACAGGTAAATAATTCAATGTATGAACATACGTGGCATGAAAACTGATTATTATTTTTAGTGTATTGATGTTTTAACAACTCGGTAGGGTTAAAACCCAAAGAATGGTGCTTTGGTAATATCTCTGACAGATTCTGTCTTCATACGTGGCATGTAACTCGATCTATCGACAAGTATTGTGAGAATACTTGGCTGTTTAGGGAGTGTTGAGAAACTATATCGCACCAATCAAGGTGCCATACTCAGATTTGTGCATCCATGTAAGAGGTTATGGAAAATTGTTACTACAACTGTTACTACCTTTTGGGGAGAGAATGCTGACAAAGAGCAGAATATTCAGAACACTGAGTAGAAATCTGAATATGTCTGGTATGCAGTCTGCCCCTGTCAGGTGAAGATGATGCTAGAGGACTAATCCGCCCTTAAGGATAGATAGCGGAATGGCTGAGCCACTTCATTTATTTGAGAAGTTCCATCAGTATTGGTGGACTGACTGCTGATGAAGTACAGATACAATGGCCCCATCTGGCATTGCTGTTAGAGCAGCATAAGATATATGTGTCAGTGTTTCTCACGTGATCTGTAGACCAGACATTCGACAGTAATCCAGATTAAAGGTCACTCCACTGGATTATTATAGTTGCATGGTTTCCAGCCAGAGTATATTTCTCAGATCGTAAACTTGCTACATGGAGTAAGGATATAATTAGCTATAATTTCTAGACATGTTGGCTTTTTCTCTGGGGGAATAAATGTTTGCCATTTCAATCAGTGTTTTGTGTCCTCTCAGTTTGAGAACGGTAGTCAAGCAATCAGTCATCACTGTTTTGCCGTAAATTCTCAGTAAAACGAATCCGAATGTAGTATTATCCTAGTCACAATAATTACTAACTTGTTTCACTTTGGCGTAGGTGTTATATTGGACTGCTTACGCAAAGGGTGTGTATGCTGCACGTCCCTTATCTTTCTCCTACATTACAGTTGTGGTAAATAACAACTGAAGGTAGATTAAAAAGACTGATAATTCTTTGACCCCAGGTGTTTCGGTTCAATCTCTTATTTCAGTATCATTTGAAATGAGTTGAAGTGGGACAGAAAGGGGAAGGTCATAGAGTAGGTCTTGGAGCTTCTATTGTTTAAAATAGCAGAAAACATGCCACTACCTAGCAGGACGACCAGAATGCAGCAACGCTATGGGTGGTCGAGTGAAAACGTGATATTAATTCGTAACGTTATTGAGTATTGATCCGAGTCATTTAAAAAGATGTTGACTGCTTGTCTATGCTCTTCGTAATGTTAAAGAATATCTCCATCATGAATGGAAAGCTCATTTGATAATAAGGGCCCAGCGATATACCTTCGTCTGATCTATCCATGAAGTAAAAAATCCACTAAAACCTGCTTTTCCTATATTTAACTCAAAAACAGTGAATCTTAAGAAGACCTTCTAGTTATGAATCTGTCTAGATTGACCAACTATCAATCTAACAGAAATTAAGAATTTTATATTAAGGCTATATATCAGTGTTGATGATTTTTTTTTCAGAATCTGTCTCAACAGATAATTCTGAGAATCTTCGGGCTTCAAATAGCACAGAAGGTAAGACTGGAATGAAAGGCACTGCTACTTACAAACTAACTCCAAGTGATAGCAAACTGATGAAGAACTATTCAAACAAGGCAGTTAATCAAACTAAATTACCTTCCAACCGCTGTAAGCGAATTCAATTATTCTTAGCTTTTTGTAGTGTTACATTAAATAATATTAATGACTACTGTGTGTATTCTAAGTAAAATGTGTTATACTGTAGGTAAGCATTTCTAGTGATCTTACTATACGTAGTAAATGTTCATTACTACATACTATATCATTTTATTTATATGATTCTATTTCTTAACCCTACTAACTGATAAAATGATTTCTTATTTATTTGTAAACGTAATGGATTACAATCATTCCTGCCAATTTGTAATACTATTCACGTTGACACTGGGACGGGTAACTCATTGTTTCAAGCAGTTGTATCCCTTTTTATTGAATCTTCGGAGCCACTGAATTACTTTTTGACTGATTATATCATTGTGATTCTTTCTAATCAAATATCACTTCATTCCACGTACTTTCCCAAGTTTCATGTACCAAACTGAAAGCCACACTTATCGTTTGAGAGCTAATGATACTGCTCAGTTGCCCATGATGAAGTAGATGAAACCCTGAACCTGAAGTAAATTTGCAGTAAAATAAGATCTATGGTGTAATTTTTCAACGGGAACAGTGTTGATTCTTTTCCATATATTAAAGAACCATATCGATGTCACCTAATAAGCATTATTTTATGCTCTCTATATTTGCAACAACTAAAATTTCACAGCATTTCCTTTAACGATGGTCTGAATGTTAGGCTTAAGTACAAGAATTGTATGTTTTTTACCTTTTTTTGTGTAATATATGCGTTAGACGTATTCCATTGTCAGAATGTCGTTCGGTTAGTGATTCTGAACACACTGAAACGGATTATCTGGTTATTTTATTAAAAAGAATCTCGAATTTGACTCTCAATGCAGAGAGCAAATAGATTTGTAACTCTCAATTAGCAGGTAGTAGTAGTTGATTGTGTGCTACTGGCAAAATATTCAAGTAGTCTACTAGCGACATTAGTGTGCATCGGTGGCACAGTGGTTAGGACTCTCGCTGACCATGCACATGGCCGAGGTTCGATCCCCTGACGACGCACACCTGATATGGTTGGCCTGCAAAATTTGGGCTACCGATATCCATGCTGAAAATTCCATACTTGTACCGAAAATGCAGTGTGGAATCAAGCTGTAATAAAAAATAAATAAATAAAATAAACAGTTTTGGCAGGGAGGCGTCTTCAAAAATTTCATACATTTGGTTCCCTTGATAAATTTTGATAGAGAAAGAAAGACCAGATTGGCAGTATAAAATGATATCATTCTATTTCACAGGTTCTCATCAGCTGCAAACCACCTAAAATTACAATGGTTATAAATAATAACATTTCATACTTCATTGTTTGAAAGGTAATAGAGAAGACATTATAAGGTGAACGCATCTGGAATATAAGTATTATAATCTAAGTCACCATCAGTTTATATACTGTCAAACTATGAAAAAAGAAAAAAAGGGGGGGTGAGAGAAGACAGAAAACAGAAAAAATCTAGTAAACAGTGTCAATATGGCAACTCAAGAAGGTCAAAGTTCATCAATTTGAAAACTTGCTTAGTGATTTGTGCTCACTAGTGTGTATTACTAATCGGTGTAATGAAAGTGATATGGTTACCAAGGCAGTGAGAGATCGACCACACTCTCTTTCTGGATGCATAAGTTTGGCCTGTGACGTTTGATTGCAATTGCTTCAGCAAATCGTAGTAGATTCGCTGTCCTTTGTATGTTTAATATTTTGAAGGATTTGGAAATCTCGACAAAATGGCCGTATCCACAAGGTGTCTGGTAATTGCACATTGTAAATATCTGCTTCCCTTTAGGCATAAGTTTGACAGTATATAAACTGATGGTGACTTAGATTATAATACTTATATTCCAGATGCGTTCACCTTATAATGTCTTCTCTATTACCTTTCAAACAATGAAGTATGAAATGTTATTATTTATAACCATTGTAATTTTAGGTGGTTTGCAGCTGATGAGAACCTGTGAAATAGAATGATATCATTTTATACTGCCAATCTGGTCTTTCTTTCTCTATCAAAAAATAAATAAATAGTTATTATACTTATTATCATTATGGATAGATAGCAGGTTACATTCAAATGAAATGGTTTCTTGTGTTTACATTTGGTATCAGTTTATTTCATGTTCATAATTTGTGTACCTAAATCTAACTTGTTAATTTTTCTTAAAAAGTGTGTATATTGCAGTGAAATTGTTTTCATAACGAACAGTTTTGTTTATATATCCACATTTGTGTTATGAATACTATCTAATCCTTTAATACTACCTATTTGTATGTTGATATGTATTTTACATTGCAGAATTATTAGTTCATTGTAGGATGCTCATAGTTAGGTAAGAATGTAAGAATCAATCAGCTGTTGTTTGTTTTCCAAATTTTCATTCACAGCTCGACAGAATCGTTCTTTGCCAACAGATAAAAATATACAACAGAAGATTTCAAATGTAAATAAAAAGGAAACCCTAAATGTGTTGAAATCTAAACAGAATTCAAAAATTCAACCACGCCAGCTTGATGTCCCTAATAATAACAATGATATTAAATCAACCGGTGAACAATCAGTCCTATCTATCAGTAGGACGCTATCATCAAGTCTGGATAAAATAAATACTCTAAAATCAGGACTGGGAAGGTAAAGTTGTCTTTTCTACATTATTGATATCGTTTTCACTTGTACACATTGTAGTATATTTAGATAGATTATGTTTTGGTATTAAAACTGAATCACTTGTAAAAGATGGTGTTCAACTCAACGCAATAATTGTATAACATGGTTCACTATTATGTACAGATATTAAAATGCCATAGGATGTCCAATGGAGTGTGAAGGATTAAGCGAAGATATGTTACTGTGCTATTCATATATTGTCACATTTTTGGATAAATAGGGTTAGTCAGTGATGTCACTGTATTTGATAATGACACTGTTGAAGAGGCAACAAAATATGCAGAATATAGGTTTGCCCTAACAAGGTGTTTTTGCAACCTTAGTTTAGTTTGATGCATTTAGAAATGTTAGTAGTAAGCTAGTTAGACTAAACTGTAGTGCTGTATTCGGTTAACCGTTGGGTAGTGTTAAGTCGCCTGAAGCATCAAACTTTTTCTGTAAAATACGTTCTCATCGACACCATGCTGTTATTAGTGGAAACCTTGAAAAAGTCATTCAGCATCACTGATATCAATTCTTAATCATGGCCAAACGTAATCTAATTGATTATTTGCATTGCTCTAGAACTCTTTCATAGGAATTGCATTTTTATATATTGAGTGTGATCTACCTGAAAATGTTTGCAATGCCTTGGTCATAAATTACGAAAAAATGACCAACCTACAGTTCTTAGTTAACATTTAAAGAGACTAGCTTCAGCTTTTTATTCAAGATATTTGTATTCAACAGGCGTATATAAACTAATGCACAATTTTTAGTGGGCCTCCTGTGAACTTGAAGACCTAGTGCTTTAGGCGACAAATTTCAAAAAATACATATGCTACATCACTATGGTTCAACTGACTGCTTGTTCGTTCAATAAGAATAAGCTTGGGTGATTCTAGTTGACTTATTGGTCGCACTGAATGAAAGTGTGACTGCGGGTGAACACTACTCACGGACAGCTATATTGTTCACACAAGCACCTACTAAACTGACAACAGAATATGGAGCAACTAAATATTCATCAATATATATATGTTAAAAATACAATCAGCCACTTATCAGCGTTCACCATCAACTAACTCCTTTTTCAAGTATTGGTTTGCAGGAATTTGATTTATTTCATAAACTCACTTCAGTTAGTGAACGATTAAAAATCAAGGTATTCTGAACAGCTGTTTCGTCAGAGTCTGGGACTCCTCAACGATATGTACACTGAGGGTCGAACTCAGGACATTCAGGTTGTAAGGTGAGTCCGTTGACATTTCAATCAACTGGACAGGGTCCAATTGCCCATTAATTCTAATGTCTACTAATTAGCGATATATATAGAGCACCACAGCCAACCAATGTCATCGGCAGTGTACCTATCTCCACACCCAACTTGATTGACCACAATGGGTACAAATTCTCACCAGAACTCCAGGTCACTTCATCCTATAGTCAGTCACTAATAAGCAGAAGATTAATTTTCAAGTGCTGATTTTCAGGGAGTGATTAGCTGTGCTAAGGTTATCGTAGAGTTTAAAATTATATACACTTTAGTAAGCTGCTTACTCGATTTGCTTCGTACTTCTTATATGCTCGGGGTCTCGCTATTTTTGTTTGCATCTTTCAACTATTATTAACACAAGTGTCAAACATTTATTAAATCAATATAGTGATCTATATCTTTGCTTTCTTTTTTTCAATAAAGAACTGTCCAAGACGGTTATTGCTTCAAAAGTCGTATCCCTGTGCCAAGTAAGTTTTGGAAACTATTCCTTATTTAATCTGCTTAATTATCACAGTTATATTTAAAACACTCAAAGTGGTTTGGATACAGGTTATGCACAACAAGACTTCATGTTAGTTAGATGCGAAATCCGCTGATTCATACTACATTATTTCGTTTCGTAGGTATCTTGGATATCCGTTTAGCAAGTTTTTTTTCAGAGGTGGAATTTCTTAAGATTATTTCAGTTTGCGTAGATTAAAGTGAGATAAATTGTAGAAATACACACAAATTAGCCAGTGAATTATTTCATCAGTCCAGACGACAATGGGATAATTCCTGGTTTACCTCTTGATTTCTCTCTAGTTATTCTAAACCTTTCTCCAGGTGTGTCCTAATTAGTTTAATAGTGTCTTTACAGGTAGAAATTTCTGTGTCAGACTGAGTCAGTTTATTGCGGCTATTAAGTAGAGGACGTATGTGATGCTCAGCATTTCTCTCCATCTGCCTTTATAGCTGTGAGACATAGCCATTGAAAGGGGATGACATGGAAAGCTTAGTTTCCGTGGTCATTGTTGTCTGCATTCCGTCACCAGTGTTAAGTGGGATAATGTGGTAGATAATATTGAGGTTGGATGTAGGGTGAATTCACTCTTTGTAGTCCTTCAGATGTATAAAATTCTCATGTCTTTCTATTTTTCACTAATCTTTCTCTCGCATTTCTGTTTATTGCAGTTCTTTCGAATCTTTTCTTTCCCTCTGTTTTGTGTGTTACATGGAATGTGTCAACATGAACTGCGACATTTCTGTGAAAAGTTCTATGTTGAAACTCATTCATTCAGCCAGTCAATTCTTAAATTTGTTATCATTGAACTAAATTTTGTTTAGTTTTCATTGCTATTGATTTTTGATTTCTTTATCCAGTGTGCGTGTGTATGTACACTGCGTCATTAGAAATCATACTTGATTTAAGCTAATCGGGTCATTCATTGTGTTCATTCATGTCCAAAGTAGTATGAAGATATCTGTTTATGATTATTATTATTATTATTATGATTATTTCGGTCACATTGATGGACTTAAATAACGTTTGACGTCGAAATACAAATCTATTCGTTTTTGATGTTATATCATTTTTCTTAAAGTTTAAAGCTTGCATGCTGCATACATATTAAAATCAGTCAGATCGAACGATATATTTAGGTGTATTATTATGATTATTCCCTTGGGTCCCGAGTGGAACATAGAGTTTCAGCACCGTACGTCCATTTCACTCTGTCGCCCTCAGTTGTTTTTAGCTAGTTCCACGATTGCCTATAAGGTTTTGTCTCTTCCTCACATGATGTTTTAGACATCACTCTCGGACTAACGTCCAGCTTATCGTTCCCCATTCCGGTTCCACTTGACCAGGGTGCTTTGCGTTTGATGTCGATCAACGACCTTTTCAGCGTGTGTCTGTTTATTCTATCTGTATTTACTTCTGCATATTCGTTGTGCGATTTGTGTAGATTACGATTGTTTAAATGTGGGGATACTATGATAAAGTGTTTTACAATAAATGACAAATGTTATAACTTGTATACATGTCCCTTAAAAGCATACTGTTATCAGTTTACATTAAAATTAAATTCATTATCTTAGTCAAATCCTGAATTGGATATTCCTTTCAATAAAACATTTGAAACAGATAGTATTGTAGTGTTTAACCTTCATTCTATTAAGACAAATATTTATTCCTTGTAAAGTGTATTGTGAGATATAAATAACACTATCGCCTGGTTTGAATCACACTTTTAGCATTTCTTATTGCCTTGCACGCGTGAATGGTGAATGGATAGTGTTAAATGCTATTTATCCTTATCCTTATTTCTCTGTATTTTGTAAGAGTACATTTTGGCACTGAACCGTATTCTTCAAGCAGCACTGCTTTTAGGGAACGGGTGATGTTGGTCTTTATTCCTATCGTGATTTGTAACGTTAATGGTGTATGTTGTTTATAAATGAACACTTTGTATGAGAAAATAAGGACTAAAGATTGGATGCATACTCAGCTTACATGATAGTCTGAGATTCAATAGGATATTCTAACATTCATTATCCCTACTACGCATCCAACTGTATTGATTCTAAACTTCATCATGTCATAATAATTGGTTATAATGGATGATGTAATTTGTGATTAAACCGCATAATCTGATTCGTGATCCCGACATTCATGCAAATAAAAAACATGGAAATTTAGATCACGAATTGACTTCAGTTAGAGAACCATTGAAAACCAGCTGTTTCCTCTCTGTATGAGACTCTTCATCAGTCCGCACATATCATCCCATCAGAGATCGAACTCAAGATCCCAGGTTACAAGACGAGTTCGTAGACCATTCAGCCACTGGGACAAGATCCAATGGCCTATCACTTCTAACCTCTGCTTATTCACCATATGTAGAGCCACCGGCGGCCAATATCATTGGGGAATATTTGTCCTCACAACCAACTTGGTGGACCCCGCTGGACTGATGGACTTCCCATTAGAATGGAATAACTTGTATCTTTTATTCACAGTAATTATTTTCTGGTAGTATTATTATGTGTCCGGATAATCTAAGTTATGTAGTGTATGCTGTGAACCTACGTTGGCGTGTCAGAACCATAAACAGTTCTCGTAGTACAAATTTTTATTTCATTGTATATATGTATATAATTGCTTATTTCTTTTCTTTTGAAATAATTTTTGTCAAGTATCCACAACCCACAGTATAACAATGAATTCCCTACCTAGACAACAAGTCGCCACCACCTATTCTTCATCTAAGAAAACATCGTATCCTGATAATCAAAATCCTTACGGACCTTTAGACCTTATCCGTACATATGATGTTTTGAATCCGAATGTTATGAGTCATGTGGCCCCAATTGTAAGTGAAGAAACTGAAAATACCGTTGCAAACACAAAGAAAACAGATGCTAAGGTAATAAGCTGTTTTGTCGTTGTTTTGTGTTTGCATTTCTTCTGACCTTATTTATTTGTAATTTATTTATTAGTAGATTTTTGTATAACTCTATCTCTTCGATAAATACGTTCTGTATTCTTCACGTTTCTAATGCATAGGTTTCGTACGAGAGATAATTATTCGATTTGTACGAATATGGGCTTGTGCTGGGAATCGATTTTTATATTAAAAAACAATGTATTACTTTGTCTTCTGTAGGACTGATCTTCTAGGACCTGGAGAATCAAACACTATTGATTGAAATCTCTTGTATTATTTTAAGGCAGTTCAAGTGAATGAAGAACTTCTTTCGATAACTTCTTCATTCGTTCTCACATTTAAATACGCATGTTAGTTAACGAACACTTGGTATATGTTAACAACAGTGGGGTTTTCATAACAAAGAATCAGTTAAAGTGAATAATTAAAGAAATTTCAGAGCTAAAAGGTTCATGAAAGACAGTGCAGGAGAGGACCTCACTTATCATCTTTGCATACGTATATTATTATTTGTTCCTTGCTTTCGGAATAGAATATAAGGTTTTGGCAGCACATCTCCAATCCACTCGGTTCTTTACTATCATTTCCAGCTGGCTTTATGACTACCCGAAAGATTTTATTGCCTGTAGGTATGATTTTTTCCTATTTCCCCAGACATTCAACCCATAAGTGTTCCACTCGATGTCACTTGAATGTCTTCTCATCGTACATCCAATCCATTTCCTTCTGCATATTTTTCGAGCCAGGCATAGGTTGTTGCATGGTTCGGTACCCGACAGAATTCCTTGTTGCTTATCCTTTCTGACCGGCCATCCAATCTTCTTTAATAACTGGCTGTGGCTGTTGATAAAAATCTGCAATTCGATTAGCATTACCAGCTAACCTCAAACCTGTTGCTGATATTCTCTGCCCCCGTGCTTATTTTTGTTTCCGTCGAAAGAAGTCACATTGACCTACTGACTTCCTAAAAGCTATCTCCATCTGGCGTCAACCGTCCTCAACTTTGAGAAGTCTTCTTTATCTCAGTGTAGAGTAAGATTTTTCTGTGGTTTTGAAGTTTCAGTAGCAATGGGGTTGTTTTTCACAACGATGGTATTGCTAGCCCAACGCTCAACTTTTTCTCATTTCTGTGCTTAGAACCGGTTAGTAAACTAGGCGAGATTCTGTGTGTATGTGTGCACTAAACTCTATGGTTTATCCCATCTATCTGAGCTCATCAAACACCTACTTGTTTCCATATTTATTCACATATGGTTCATAACCACCGAACTGATCAAAATCCATTCTCCAAGCTAATCATAAACATTCATTATTACAAATTGCTGTATAATTTACAGTTACTAGTCCTGAATAAATGTTTCGTGAAATATTGAATTTTGACTATGTAGTATAAGTATGTTGATAGATGTTAACTCCATACAACCTAATGTATAATTTTAATGTCAACATAGAAAATATTCGCACACTTGAACTGTCTAGCCTGTTAAGTGCTACACGGAATGTGGCGACTTGAACTTCCGCACATTTGTGCAAAGTTCTATGTCGAAAACAGACAGACAAGTATATTTTATGTACTTCCTTTAAAGTTAAGATGAACAAAGTGTGTATGTCTTTGCGTTTTGTCTCATATATTCTAATTTTTTTTCTATAAGAAATGTTAGTATTTATTTTCAAATAAGAGGAATGGTTTGCTTGTAAAATTTTATGGGTCAAACCTTGTTCGTATTAAGTGCTTTGATTTATCTATTCACTAAGCATATTCCTGTACAGTTATTGATTATATAATTAAGTATTGTCTTTTAAGAACTCCATTTAAATGTATTGGAAGATGGTTGAACTTGTATTTCATTTTATTCTTTTATTTGTGGATATTCGCTATACAATGTGAAATTGTTTTATGGATTTCATACTTACTCCACAGTCTAATACTTTTATATATAAGGAATAAATGAAGATGTAGGGAAAGTACTTTTTTCTGGCTATCATCAGGGAAATACTAAAAACGAACTGTTGAACACTGTTGTCTGCATCCTGCAATGTTATCTGACATAGATCTAGTCTAGAAAAGAGTTCAAGATAGCAAAAATAAAATTCAGCATCGATACATAGATTGATTGTCCATCTGGTGTCTTTACTAAGAATCACTAATTCAAAATTGTTTACAATAGTACAGATCTGTTCACGCTTTTTATTAAACTAGATACTGGAAATCTCTCATCAGATCACTTCGTCTAGTTATTCTCTTCAATACCATTCATGCTTGCTTATTGTATTATCCATTGTATTTCCCTCCTCCTGTTTTCTATGGTTTATCACAGTTTAACCTACTTGAACTGTTTCGCCTTTTTAATTCATGAAAACTTCCCATTCGAACATTAATAGACAGAAGACCAGTAGTTCAACGAAGAGTTTCTTTTCGGAGGCGAATTCATTTTCATAACTGCACAATCGCAAATATATATGGTTGTTTTGTATGTGTGTGTACATTAAATTTGTCAAACGGAAATGCAATTGGTAAGTTCAGATGGATTGGATGTTGATATATGAGGATAGTAACAAAAGTGATGAGTTGTCACAAACAATTGTTAAAGAAGAGTTACGTAATAACGTGAACAGTTTGATGAAAGAGTTGTGCTCAGGGTGTACATGGAAACAAAATAACATACGGAATTACGCAAGAGTTTTAACTAGTTAGAAAAATAAGCACATAAACAAGAGAAGTTAAGTCAAATCAACGGAGTTGTTACCATGAGAGTTGAAGTGGTTGAATAATTTTCTTTTGTATGCATAGTTCTGGTTCTTCCAACTGAATGGCTAGGGCTTCTGCAATGCTAAGAAGACGGAAACGTATTGTCTTTGGAAGGTTGTTCTTCACTTTGTAGATTACTTTAAAGCAGGAGGTGTTTGTTGAGATGGAATGACCAGTGTTGACGAGATATTCGATTATTGCACTCGCCTTTGTTCTACTTTCTTCTTCGATCCATTGTTATAAAAATGACTTAGAAGAGAATCTTGAATTAACGTTGTTTAATGAAGAATTCTACATTGAATTTGTTTGTTTGTTATACGATACAATAATATACGTTCCACTCATTCGTATTATCATCGGTATATTATGTGTACCCTTGAGTTAGTTATTGTAAAATATCATTTCCACATGAAATTTGCTTCTTCAACTATTAAAAATGCTTGCCAGTTTTGAACACCATTGAAATTGACATTCTAAAAATACTGTAGGCACATAACTTTCTCTTTAATCAAGTTAATTTTGGGAATTATTAATAAAAAAACTTTGATATGATGTATCATGAGTGCATGTGTAACCGAAATCAATTGAGTATTGGAAAACTCTAGTATAGTGAATACCTCACGTGGCTGTAAACTTCTTCAGTGTCTGTGTGCTGATATTTTAATTGAGAAAAAAATGCTAGTGAAGAATGCGATCATTGCAATGAAAAATTAAGTTATCAGCACGCCTTATGTAATACAAACGATTAATATAAGAGTAGGATTTTTTTAAATAATAATAATAATTTGCTTTATTCCAAAACAGTACTAATGTTACAGTGTGGAATTTTCAGCAATTTGTATAATATTGCATCTAATCTTATCGAACAATATTTTTTAAAAATTATAAAGATAGTATTACAGGATAGCTAATGACGTTCTTATATGGTATTTGTAGTGACAGCGAAGAATGTGGCGGTTTTCTCACCCACCATCTTGAATATTTTCGTATAGGTAGCCAGAAAGACAAGATCAGAAGCTTTCAATAAATCCAGGGATACGTTTTTATCTCACAGTTTATCACAGTCTGCCATAGTTAATCCACTCTGTCCAACCCTAAGAGAATGTGTCACCCTCGTATCTCCACATTTTAAAATCAGGAGTTAGCGTTTTAAGAGCTCTACGTTTCCAACTATCCATAAATATGTCCACTACTACTGTGATATTGACGATCCTATTGTTTGTATATTGGATACTTAGTATTGTTTCTTCAACCACGACTTGTTACTTTGAGACTCATTTCTTCATCGTTTTCTGTTTGAATCTACTCTAGCTTCCATTTCATTACGTGTAAACTAGTAAGCCTACAATCTGGCCGATCTCTAATGTAAAATAATTTTAATGTTAAATATTTAGATAATTCATATGTTGGGTTATCAACTATTGACCAAATAGCGTATTCTTCTTCATGAATTTCAATAGTGACATGCATTCTACTAGAATTATTAGTTATAGACATTAGATTGAGTCATTTTGACTCACCCAGAGTTGAATCCATTTGGTGTTCTAGATCAGCTTTAGAGTTTTTGATTTGTTAATGTTAATGTAAGTGTAGAACTTGGGCACTGTGGTAGGATTTAATTCCATATTAGATAAGTTTATTTTAATTATCACACAGTGATGCAGTATTGACCACTGGATGACGTCCCGAGCATAAATTATTGCTTATAATCATATCAATTTATTCACACGTTTTCACAATGATATACTCCATAGTGGAGATCAAATATCCAGAAAGAATAAGCAAAAAGAAACTCTGCAATTGGACAAACAAACCAAAAGCCGATCGCTCAACAACAAATATTTAGGAGAAAGTGGAGAAGGATCGGGCATCCATTGAAGAGGCCACCGAATAACATCGCACGTCTGGCCCTGGAGTGGAATCCCAGTGGGAAGCGGTGAGTGGGTCGTCCTAGGGTGATATGGAGGAGATCGTGTGAGGAAGGGATGTGAGAGTTTGGGTAATCGTCGAACCAGGTGAAGAGGACGGCAGAAAACAGAAGGAAGTGGAAATGTGTTGTTGAAGCCCTACGTCTGTCTGTCTGGATTCAACATAGAACTTGGCACCGAAATGCGGCAGTTCCAGTTGCCACGTTCCAAATAGCACACAAAAGTAGACAAGAAGATGAGTGAAGAGAATCAATAGAGTTTGACAAGTATAAGAGTGAAACAGACTGGTTAATGGTAGAAAGGAATATGAAAGATTACAGAAACTGAATACATCTGCGCTGGCCACTGACAACGATTTTGAGCCATGTCACCTATTGTCTCCAGCCATTGATTCCTAGAGTCCCGAGGGCCCCAACCCGGAAGTCTGCATCTCCCTCCCTACCTGACTCAGTTTAACTGTCAAGGATTTCATGGATTGATGAGGCCATGTTTTTGTTTGGCCACCACTGGCTCTTTTCCAACCTACACCTATATCAGCTAGTAATGCCCGTCGGGCGGGGGAGGGGGGAGAGGCGATGGTTAGGCATGCGCAGCACGTGACCTAGCCATCTTAGTCTATGTAACTTTATAGCCTCGTCGATTGATTTTCCCTCTTTGCCCAACACTCTACGCCGAACGTCAACATTACTTACCTTGTGAAACCACCTAACGTGAGACAGAGATCGCAGACATCTATGATCGAAAGCAGTCAACCTTTTCATGTCTTCAACTCGTACTGGCCATGTCTCAGAGCCATAGAGAAGGACGGAGCGAACTGATGAGCAGTACACACGTCCCTTGGTTGATGGCCGGGTGTCACGCCTACGCCAGAGATGGTGTAAGTCAGCGAAAGCAGCTCGAGCTTTTTGGATCCTTGCTGAGATTTCGTCGCCAATCAGTCCGTTGGTGCTGATACAACTTCCCAAATAGGTGAAGTGGTCAACATGTTCTATCACTTCACTCCCTATCACTAAGCTAGGAGTTGACGTGGTCCAGTCCTGTAGCAGCATCTTACATTTTGCAGGGGCGAGTGGCATGCCAAACATACGAAGATTGCTGCTCAAGGTGTTCAGGGGACTCTGCATTTTGTCAGCATCCTCCCCTAACAGGACTATGTCATCTGCATACTCTAAGTTCATAAGACTATTCCCTGGTAACAAGTCGATTCCTAAGTCGTTGCTTTCAGTTAAGGATACTTCCATCAGGATATCTATGATGAAGTTAAACAGGAATGGGAAAGTGGGAAGCCCTATGTTCCACTCGGAACACAAGGGAATGATAATAGTAACAATACTTCCTACTCAAAACGTCATCCAGTGGTTAATACTGCATCACTGTGTAATAATTAAAATAAACTTATCTAATATTGAGTTTTTGATTTGACTCATAAATGCGTTGACAGGTTTCTTAATCTTCTTATATGGACCTGTCTGAATATGTTCATTAATCTTACTAATGTAATCCAATCTTTCTATAACAAATAAATAAGCATTTAATGTCATCTTCAACCACTGAGATTGTGAAAAACTACAAGCCTTTTTGATTGTATTAGCGTCAATTGAAACTATTAAATCTAAGCTAAGACAAAGGACTCTATAATGTTTTCACAATAACATGTAAATGAAGATTCATCGTAATGCTGTTGAGTTGTTGTAAGTTTGTGGTTCTCAGATTATTCTAATGGCTGTTGGAAATATGCATAAAAGCTTGTTTATCTGTTCTTTTAGTTCGCTTATTTTTGGGGTATTTAGATTACATTTTGAACAGGAAAAAGAGTATCTGCAAAAAGGACGTTCTCCAGGATCATCAGTATCCTTTCCAGTGAATTAACTTTAATCCTTTGAAGTGTATAAAAGTACCTTTAAGATTGGAATATAGAAAATAATGACATATAGTCGTCAATCGACTATCCTACCACTATCAATATTTTCTAGAATAAAAGTTTCTCCCTTCAGAGCTATTGTTGAATAATTTATTTATTCCGACTACTAACTATTGAGTTACAAATTCAACTCCAATCCACTTGCTCCAATCTAAACGATAGACTAATATTACTTAGTAAGTATGGTTGTTGACGTGTTACGCCATTCCATTTGAGTATTACACACTTATCACTTATTCGCTTTCCTCTAAAATCTGTATCCCCTTTCGCTTCGCTTGTCTAACAAGTTGCTTAAGTGTGATGAAACTATGTATAAAACTGGTGTTTAGTTGTAAATAAAAGTGGAGATTTGCATTTATAAGTGCGAACCTTTTCTACCTGTGATATTTTCTTGAAAAAAACTTCTATGCTGTTGAAGTGTTACTTTGAATTGTGGCTTTGAATTACAGTTTTTCACATGTCACACAGTTTCAATGAATACAATGCTGTCCTGTCGTCAAAGCTTTATTCTCTTTCTCAAATCGATTATGCTAATTGTTTTGTTTTAAACTATTATATATTTCTGTTATATTGGATTGATTGGATTATGCGAATGTTCAGTGTTCATTTTGTATAGTTTTTTTCCTGTCTTTGCTAAATGTGCGTCGGTGGCACATTGGTTAGGACTCCCACCGACCATGCACATGGTCCGAGGTTTGACCCCCTACCGACACACACCTGATATCTATGGTCGGCCTGCAAATTTTGGGCTACCGGTATCCATGCTAAAAATTCCATACCTGTACTAAAAATACATTGTGGAATCAAGCTGTAATCAAAAATAAAAATAAAATTGGCATTATGTCAAAGCATAGTTATAATCATAGGTGTACTCAATGCGAAATGATAGGAATATTCTATATCAGTGATTGCCTACAAGATATGCTATTGTTCTTTTCCAGGACCCACTCGTAAATCCCAATTCAATAAATGAACGACCAATCAATCAACAAGAGACTATTTTACAACAATTATCGGAAATTCGTAAAGTAAGCAACATTTATATGTTAGTTTAGTCGGAATGCATATTGATTTAATCCCCTTTCTCAAATGAGACAACAATTAATATAAGCTTGATCACTAGTATCTTTAAGTCCTGAATAAGGCCTAATTTGAAAATCGTATCTGTGAACTTCATCTATAAATATCATGTGGACGAAAGAAAGCACTTATCAATGTTATAAAACCGCCTAGTTACCCACAGCTTTTGTAAATTGAATCCTACTAGACTGACATCTCGTGCATAGTACATCTGATGTTCACTGTTCGTAGCCATGTATTAGTACACATCGCAGTGCTGGGATACCCATCGGTTCTTCCTGTTTATTAAATGTAACCCCAATAGTAGACGCCGGTCAGGTTCTTCGTTCCTGCATCCATATTTTGTTGGTGGGAAATTTAGACTGATATTAATCCGAAATTCTAGGTGAGCAGAGTGTTAAAAGTGATCATTCATCGCTTCAACTACAGACGGAACTGACAAGGATATCAAAGCAAGGATCGGGAAAGCAAGACAAGCTTTCATTACTCTCAAGTCTGTGTGGAGGTCAACAGCACTCAGCAGGAAAAATAAGGTCCGGATTTTCAACTCCAATGTGAAGTCAGTGCTACTCACTATACGGATCAGAGACTTGGCGTGTCATAAACAGCATCTCAAACAAACTACAGACCCTTATTACCAGTTGTCTTCGCTCAATACTCAAGATGAGATGGCCGGTCAGAAAAGATCAGCAACAGGGATCTCTAGCAATGAGCGAACCAACACAGCAGGAACCTATTGTGCAACAAATAGGCAGGAAGAAATGGAGATGGATTGGCTGGCCATACTCTGAGGAAACCATCAAGTGACATCACTAGACAAGCCCTCGAGTGGAACTCGAAAGGGAAGTGGCGAGTTGGTCGTTAGTGCAAGGGTAACTTGGAGGAGGTCATGTGAAGAGGAGATGAAAGCATGTGGGCAGACTTCGAGCCAGGTGAAAACGTTGACAGAGAACCGAACGCAATGGAGACGCACGGCTGAAGCCCTATAGTCCTCTAGGAATTAAAGGAAATAATTATACAGTTTACAGATATTCCATCATCGTGCGACTGTCATTTCAACTTCATGCATGTATGGCCGACATTTGTTACATTTAGACACTGAAAAATAAGTTTCCTGTTAAAATAATTCCTATTAGTGATTAAGAATGGAGATTCTAACAATTCAATGATCAATGACTCAGGTATTTAGTTTATGCCTTCATTTGTATTTGCTTCAGATAAATATATAGTTTTCTATCAGTTGAATCCATAATATGGAGCTAAGCGTAGTTGAATCGTATTGTCAATTCTCCCTCACTTTCTGAATTCTTTTGTTTTCAGGGTTTACAACTACGCCAAATGTTATACGAATCAGGAACATATGAAGATGATAGTGATGAGTGAATGGCATGTCTTCACGGTGACTTCTAAATGAAAATTTCTATTTCATTTCATATCATATTTGTATTGACCATATATCAGTAGATTTCTTATGATGCCTTACGTAACTCTTTCTTATCATCATCCACGCAACATATCATCATCATCACCACCATAATGATCCTCATACACTTCTTCTTCGTACTCATTTTCTTTCCCATTCCGAAAACAGCTGTTATACCTGTTATATTGTCTGTGATGTAGAGATGTAGCTGGTCAGTCTTATTTTATAACTTTCAACCTGAGCAACTTAATTCTGTAGTTCAGTTCTCATACAGTTTGTGCCATTCCGAGCAACTTAGTTTCAAGTAACTAGTGTTTATGTGTGTGTGTGTGTGTGTGTGACTGTCATTCAGCAGACATTAAGTGTTCTATGCATTTATCATCTTGTCTCTCTAGTTTAATTGATGTGTATTCGGCGTGTTTCCAGTGGACATATTAACACGATTAAGCATCTTGCTTATTGAAAATGTAACTTTCTGAGGGAAAGTTTAAGGATAAAGTCAAAGAGGTTATTGTTTATTATAATACCAAAGTATTTTATCTGAGTTTAATATATATTTTGCCTATTTTTATTTTCTTTCGAAATTTAGTTTTCTGCTTCTTTTATATTTGAAATTTTGATTGGTTTGAAAAATATTTGGAACAAATTTAAATAAAACGATTTTATAAAGTAGTTTCTCGTTCTGTTTTTAAAAGATTTGTCGTCTTTAATCGTCTTTATTTTGTTGTCTGTTTGGAAATAATAAATAATGTGAAGTTTTGCACAAGGATAGAAGACACACGTCAATATATGACCTGTAGATAGTTATTCTTTCTGTGTAGAGCTAAGTCACTTTAACCTAATTAGTTGATCATGCTATGTTGTTGGTTATTTCCGCCTTTCAATTGTTCTTCGATTCTCCTTAAACGTATATAAGTAGTTGCTATTAAAGTGTGTTAACGACTCCTACTTGTTATGTTTAGTCTATGATGTCTAATATTCAAGATTATGATTTTTTTCTGTTGGTTATTTAAGATTTCTCCAATACCTTTCATTATGTATCAAGTATCGTTTTCAAGGTGTACCATCGGGGAAATAAAGCTCGAGTATGTCTTTGTTGTAATTAGAAATACTCTGTAAGACAAGTGGTTCCATTCATCTTGTCTACAATTAATTTAAATTTATACATGTTTAGTTAAGCGTATTCATGTTCTAAAATAAGCGATTAACTTAACCTGTTGATGGGTATGCCTAAAAATGCTTTCCTTGGATGAAGAATTTTTGTTCTATTTCACCAAAAGTCTTTAAAATATAAATCCTCAGCATGTTGTTGAGTACTTTTGTACACTAAAATATAAAAATCTGAAAGTATAGCTAGTGTGTGAGTGTGTGTGTGCGCGCAACTAACTCGTGTATAATGTGTGAGAAGTTATCTAGTTATAACTGTATACATGTGGATCATTTCATTCCTTTACGTTCTGACTGAAACATAAAGCTTCAAGCTTAAGCCGAGTGTTCTTTGGTATAGTTGTTTTGCTAGCCTTACGTTGAACCTTCCCTCTTTACTAGGTTTACTGCTGGCTTGTCGAGTTTTTGGAGTGTGTCGGCTGGGAATCGAACCCGGACCATGTAGGGGCGATTGTGGAGCATTCTATCATTGAACCACCAACATGCTCCACTCATAATTCATTATTTAAACTGGTGTAGTAGTTACTTCATATTTATCATCATGACAGTAATTTAGTTAAAACTTACTTTCTATTTGTTTTAGTTTTTGCTTAAAGCCATATTCATTTTGCTTAATTGTATGAACTTTTTAAAAGAAAATTAATCTCACTTTCTTTTCTTTATACAAAGACTACTTTAGATCTGTCTGTCATATGTGTCTACATTAGAGTCTATCCTATACCATAATCTCAATGCTGCTAGATTTGATGATATAAAAGAAAAAACATACAACATATATTTATAATAAATTGGACAAGCATCGTTTATGTCCTCCAAAGTAAATTACCATACACTTTCACCGTCCAAGTATAAGCTGAAGTATTTCATGAAAGTAAGTGTATAATTTACACAACTCAAAGATTTAAATGTGATAGTTTGTTTTCTGTGCATAGCTATAAAAAATGTATGGATTTGTCATTCCTTTTTCAATAGGGCTTTTATTATCAAACTGTTTACATACCTTATTAGCCCATTTTCACACCTGTTAGTTTAAAATAAGCTGTTTTTGTAACTGGGATGATACTGAGATTTGCGGGTTCACTCCACTCTGTTATATCAACATTCAACTAGTATTCTCACACTGAGAAGACACAGCCGACTGACTGACAAGGCTCAAAACAGTCAAAAACTATTGATATAATTTTTTTTCTTACATAACCAGTAAATGACTATTTTAAGATATAAAACGTGTGTTTTGACTAGTTCTCATTGCTGTGACCCATAATCTACGTCAGGGTCAAATCTTTGGTTTATACAGGTCAAGTAGAAAAAGCTGATTCGTAATACTTCACTACCTGACCTAATGGATTTTTTCTATAGTCTTTATTATTAGATTCACATATATTGTGTAAAACTATCACTTATACCTCTGATAAGAGTGCTCAAACAATTTATCATCAATCTTAGCAAATGAGTTTTGTGGTCACGTTTAGTACAACCTGTCACTGCGCGCAGCAATCATTCTTTTCGGTTATATATATATATATATATATATATATATATATATATATATATATATATATATAACGTCATCAAATATACCCCATGAAACAGAAAGTAGTATACTGTTGGGTGAATGGATGGATGAAGAAAATGGTGATGCAAGTGAAGATAATATTGTACCAATTATAACTAATGGAAATCGTGTTGGTGGTGGTGATATATCCCGTCGGCCAATTGGTCGTGCACCCTCCAATATAGGCATATCTAATGTAAATAGCACACTGGCTGTAAACAATGCAATAATAAATAGTACCAATATCACTGCAGCAACAACAGCAGCTGGGGTAGCATTAGCAGGTAGTAACGTTACTGGTGGAAGCGGAACTTTACGCAAGTCGAATTGTGTTAAAGAAATTGAACGTATACAACAAAGACGTGAAGAACGACGTGCTGCACAAAAAGCAGTTCGTGATCAAATCGATTTAGATCCTAGTAATCCAAGTTATGAATTTCATATGATGATTCATGAATATAGAAATACATTGGATTATCAACCGTTAACAAATACAGACCCGATAGAAGATCACCAAATATGCGTTTGTGTACGGAAACGTCCTATGAATAAAAAAGAACTTGGTCGACGTGAAATTGACGTGATAACTGTCCCGAATAAACAGCATGTTCTTGTACATGAACCAAAAACTAAAGTCGACTTAACTAAGTATTTAGAAAATCAACAATTCCGTTTCGATTATGCATTTGATGATACTTCAAATAATGGAACTTCTTTTGAAAATAATGTGTATTGTTCTCTTATCCGACTCGCTTGCTTTACACTTACCACCGACTTATAAAATCTTGTGTTTTCCACACACACGTGTGTGTTAGTTTGCTATACTGTTCTCTCCGGGTACTTATTTTGTCCCCATTTTTGTTTTTTTAGTCTTCTCTCCGGTCCATTTTGTTGTATTTTCACTTATTCTATACCGTTTCTATTGTTTGATCGATTGCAGTCTCAATCTTCTTTTTCACAAATTAAGGATTGTTATATGGTACACATGCGCATGCACGCTCACACACACACACAAAGCTACATACAGAAGTCCTCCTGCCTCGTCCAACTGTACACCGATAGTCTATCAAATCGAAGGATGGAAAGACTTCTTTTTTCCGTTTTTTCTTTTCTGTATCTTTTTTTTTGAACAACAACTCACTTGAAAGTGTGCGCATGCATGCATTTTTGTGCATTCAAAGATGTTTTTGAATGTGTGCGTGAGTGCGTGCGTGATTTTGTTTTTCCTCTTTTTTTGTGTTTCGTCGCCTTTTTACGCATATCTGTCTCTCTGTCTGTGTGTGTGTGTGTGCGTAGGTGTGCAAGTGCGTTTCTTCACTAGGCGTTTTATTTTGTTTAATATTATTTTGTTAAATAACGTACAGTATAGAAATTATGAATTACACCAGATAAACGACTAAATCACTGGTGTGTATCGTGTTTTTCACTGACTAGTACAAAACAGATGTTTAAATGGTATATCCAACACGATAATTAATTAGAGAACACAATTTAAACAATATTTAGGGTAGTTTCTCATCAGGCTTCGCAATTATATGGTAAAATACTAATCATGGATACTTGAAATCAATTTGGCAAATAGAATTAAAGTTCAGTCATATAACTTATTTATTATTATCATTATTCCCTTGAATTCCGAGTGCAACATGGAGCTTCAGCACCATAATGTGTTATATTTGCATATTGTAATTTTTATTATAGAATCAAGCAATATCTAATCACTAGGATTCGATAATTATTCTTTTCTCTTCCCCGCTATTTATGCACCTTTTCTTTCACGCTCACAACGATTTTCTATTCTAAACACTCGCATGAGTTTATCCTTATAATAATAATAATAATATTATTATTATTATTATTATCATTATCACCTTGCTTCTTGCCCATTGATTCATATGCCTGAGCCTTAGTTCTACTAATCACATTGGTTGTAAATGTTTATGATTAATATTCTGTTGTGTAATTTAATTATAAAGCATTTGCCTAAACCGCATTCTCAAATGCGTATCTGTTTATGATTTAAAGTCGCATATTATTTTGCAAGTCCTATATGATGAATCATCTATGTAATGAGATTATTGTCAATCAGAAATGACTTCTTAAGGAAATTCAAGTTATCCCCATGTTTGGATAAGATGCTTTAGTGACTATTTCTGTCCATTTAGATATCCATTTTCGCAGATCTTAGTCATTTTATCAGTGTCAGTTTTTCTCCTGTGAATAATTTTGACTTGGATAAAATGGTCAGGATCATAGACAATACTGGTCTAAGGTTTCTCATTTATGTATTTTCGTAACCTTATCTTTATTTAGCCGCTGACTTGTTACATTATAGTCCTTATTCCACTAGTTATTATTTATTTATTGAAACAAAAACTTGATACATTATGAGCACCAAGAGACAGGCCACATAAAATCTCATAGTTTGTATGGGGTAGAGGATACTTTCTGGAATCACAGACCGCAGTAGGTGGCTGTCTTAAGGGGCCACTCTCCGAGCCTTTGACTGGAGGTCTGTTCCACAGAGCAGTGGAGCAGCATCTGGAGCTACGTCCCCATGCTTGACGGGTGACTAAAACAGGTTCATACCTCATATCATCTATTTGGAATCTGTATCCTATGTACTCCACAGATTCGGAATGAGGTAGACCTGCATGTCGGCCAGTCTGGCTGTGTGATTCAGATATCCTCATTCGGCCCCTCACTATTGTGACTCATGAAGGCGTGGGCGAAAACTTACCTGGTACAGTAAGACTAGGAACGCATGGCCACATGAGAGCATTTTGAGAAGGAGACGGAGGTCTACTCACCGTCTGCCGTACTAGGTCGTTTATGAGGTGTATTCCACTAAGACATCTTTTAGCGAAATTGTCTTGTACAAATGATCGTTGTACAGTATGTGACCAAATTATGCCTTTTTTGTAACATAAATTACATTTTTTTCTCTCATTATTCTTAGCCTAAAATAAAACAACTGGGAAATGGCTGCACAATATTTACACGTCAATTACGAGTATATAGTTTATTTTCATTTATTGCATGGTTATTTCTCATTGGAACATTCCTGTATACAACATTGCAATTATGCTCTTTAATCTTAAAGCAATCAAGTTTTAGCAGTAATGCATATGCGAGTTATTATGGCAAAAACTGGATACCATCTATTTATACTGTATCACGTTTATCTGATGCAATTCTTAATATATGGCCTGCGAATATTGCGAAAAATATTATGCCATCATATGGTTTAACTTTGGTGAGTTGATTTTTGTCCTTTAATATATATATATATATACTGAGGATCAATCACCATAAAATGAAGGAAAGTTGTTTCATTTTGTTCAGCTTCAAGTTCACTTTGATTGTAAATCGCAGTGTGTTAAACTTGCTGAAATCAGCCATAGAGGCATTATTAGTTGACTGAATTTCTCTATCAGTTAACCCTGTTTTACTAATCTGCTTTATATGTATCACGAATATCATGTGGTCCTGTCGATGAACAATAATTTTCCTGTAGCATAAACTGGTGAATCGTGATTTCCAATTCATCAGGTAAATGATAGTCTCTTGATGAATAATTTAATAAGGTTAAGTAGAAGAGGTGAAAAATGAAGAAATCATTGATGTATTGTGTTATAAAAATGAATACGGTTTCAGGTAATAAATCAGTGTCAATTCTTCAAAGGGGTGGTAACAGTTTTTCATTATCTTCATCTGGTGAAAATTACAGGATATATTGACCTTGAAAATCCATATTTTCATGGATAATTACCTCATGACTGAAAATAATTATTATCGTGCAGAGTACGAATTTTAGTCTTTTATTTTAATCAACTAAAAGCGATTTTTAAACGTCACTTTGGCAAAGGAATTCTTATTGTGTATGTGTATTAAGACACTTGCTACGCATACTGAAACATCGGCTTCCTCGGCGAACAATGTTAGCCGACATTGGATTAGGTTAGAAGAGAGTCAGACCAAACATTGACACCAGTCCATGAAGTCTTTGACAGTTGGTTTGAGATTCTTAGGGAAGTCCGGTTAGGTCCTCGCTATGCTAGAGACTGTCGGTGATATGGGTCAATTTTGTTGTCAACGGCGTAGGTACATTCGTTCTTTATGACTCCCCTGATTCATTAAAAACTCTTCTCTCTCCTTCAGACTCCTGCTGATTATAGTTTTTTTGAATCTTTTCTCTACATGGAGTGTGGCAATTTGTGTAAAGTTGTGTGCTGAAACCCAATCAATCAATAAGTGCATTTTGACTGTGGGTATGATATGATAATCACTGTTCATATCAATTATCAACATTATATCTCCGCTAAAAACCACAGTTTAGGGCTTCTCTCTAAATCTATGGATTTAACCTTCTGTATATCCAAGGATATATGACGCCTAATCTTGTTATCTTGCTCTTGTATTTTCCTTATACGACATTTATTTCCTTGAATTATTATCTCTTTTCCATTTAGTCATGAAGACAATAAAAGACAGATTCAGCGAAGAAAATTTTCTTGATCGATGAAATCATCTTCAGAAGCTGTACAGTCGTATTTATACTTACAAAAATATATAGTGGTCTATTATTCAGTTATAGGGGTGGGGGTGACGTAATTGATATAATTATTCAGAAGTGGCTTTAGAAGAGAAAATTAAAAGTTGTAAATTACGTGGTACTCAACGGCACAAAGATAGAAATTTGATAAGGTTAAAATTGCTCTTCAGTGAGAATACACGTATTTGAGTGTCAATTTAACAAGTGTGAAACGAGTGGGAAAATATACAAAAGGAGCATATGAAACTAATAGTAGTGAATTAATTAATAAAGCAAACTGAAAGTAAAATTAAAAATTACAAGAAAAAATCGAATTCTTTTACAGGGAACGATTAGTGAAGAGGTTAAGACCAAGGTAGAATAAGAGACTGGACAAACTTTTTCTGTATACAGAGTTCAGGTTTGTATTGATGAATTGCCAACGCCTTCGCCATACACAAAAGCCGAAACCTGACGCCTTTTGTACCTTTTGGTTTCACTTTGTAGATGATCTTGAAAGATGACTCTGGTGGAGCTACGTGGCCTGAGTTCACCAAATGCTCGAGAATTGAGCTAGTAATTGTCTTGCATTGTCCCTTTGTTAACCATGTCGGATAATGTTCAGAGATGCGTTTGGAAAGCGTGCGCTTTGTTCGGGCGGTCAATATAACTAGCTCCACACGAGCAGGTGAATTTATAAACACACATTGAGGTGGCCCAAAGCGGCAGTTTATCCTTCACACATCCGTTGATCATTTGTCGGCTGTAGAAATTGATACGTGTCTCAGCCATAAAGAAGACTTTTCTCAGTGATCTGCATTGTTTATTATGTCTAACAGAAATATAAAAGTCTATTTTATTATCTTCAGTCGATAAAACTGATGTGATACATACTGCATTCGTATTTGGGATGACTTGGGTTGTGGTAAGTAATAAAATATGCTTAATCTACTGAGCAAATGAGCACTTACAGGGAAGCATTTATACCGATACTTCTTAGTTTTAAGCAGTTCTTTGACTAGCATTTTTGAAAGATGGAATTTGCTGAACATTTTATCATGATCCTCTTTCTTTTTGCGTCTACTATTCATAGGTCAGTTTCAGTAATCAAACACCGTTTCCATATACCGATCAGTTAAAATCTGTTATTGCATTCGATGAGAGAGAGCAGTCTCGAGTATTTTTAAGTAGTGTACATCAAGGTAAGTTCCTATGCATCATTTAATGAATATTTATTCAAATATATTCTGACCTGTATAAATGTGTGGCTCTAATTTGTTTTCTAAATCCTTTGTGAATGTAACTAGATACAGTTGGATTGTAAAACAAATAAGTTGCTATAGTGACATTATTATTGTTATCGTTATTGTTTATAGTATTTCGCCATTATCTGTAATAATTTCGAATGCCCGTTTACTGACTTTTATTTGTTCAATCTGAAGTTGACCTATTTTCTTTTGTTCACTTTTAATTTATAAATCTAATAGTTTTCGCGCAGTTTACGTTTTATTATTGCATGTTCTATGGTGGGATTCTGTTACGCCTTCTTTTTTTATTATATTAGTGTTGTGTGTTCTGTTGAGCTAATTTACTTTTCAATGGGTTGAACTCATAGGAAGTATGAACGAATATCTCTACGGCTATCATAATAATTACTAGATTTTTCTTACAGCAGATTAAATAATCTCTTTGAGAATTCTATTCTCCTCTAACACATACGTACAGTAGCAGCTAAACTCAATTCGAAAAAGTCTTCACCGATTACGATTCGTTGTACTCTAGTCTCTATTTTTGTGATAAAATCCTCCAGTTCCATACAATCGGTTGATTAATTGGTGGATGGTGACTAGCAGTGGAATCCAGTATTCACATTTTGTCCTGTTTGGGACCCATCATCTGGATGTACCTGCATTTCTCAGTGAGTGATGATGTTCCCACCGAGGCTCGAACCCAGTGCCCATAATTTCAAACGCCAAAGCGTTATCCACTAGACCACTTGGGCCTCGAGAGCCACCTCTTGTTTGAATAAAGAAAGAGTCAACATATTTGCAAGATAATACGAGCTGGCTTTTATTTCATGGGTTCCTGTCAATTGCATATAACCTACACAATATCAAAATATAAGCTCAAACGTTCTGAACATACTTTCATCACAGTGATTTCGATTTATCGATAGAAAGTATAAGCAACATAATTCCGAAATGATTATTCAGTTTTAAACAGAACCAACTGTTTATAATATAAATAGACAGGAGAGGAAAACAGAGTTCAAATTTGGCATAGAAACAAAGATAAACTAAAGACGAATACAAAATTTAAAAAATTAGTAAATTTTTGTATAATATGATGGAAAGATCAAGAGGATGAGAGTGAAAAGTAAAATCATGACAGAAAAATAATTCAGTAAATTTGGAAACTTAGTAGTGAGTTCAACTCACTAAGTGAAAATCAAACTTAGATGACGTATTGTTACGCAACAGGACCAAACACAAAAACACACGAACAAAACAATTACAGTTACTAGGGTAGTTAGAGGTTTATCACACTATCTTTCTGTGTACAGAGGCTGAGTTGAAATCTTTAGACAGCAGTGGCAAAATGAAGTAATCAAGATTTTCTTTGAATATTGATTATTTTAATATCAGTAAAAAGTTTGAGCATTGTGGATTAGATCAAATAAAGTATAATTATATTTCAATAGTTTACACACAATGATAAGTTTTGTTATTGGTAATATTTCGAGCAAAATTACTGCCCGTGTTCACACCACTGTTGGAATTGTTTTATTCACACATTTATGATTTGTACTCATGATTATTTTGAAATCCTGAATCATTTCAACTGTATATGTCTCATGTCATTCAAGTGTCAGGCACTTGCATTCGAATCTCACACTTTTTAACGTTTAACTACAGACTATTTTTACAGTATTTGTTGTAAAGCGGTGTTTGCTCTCAAAATATCCTCTGAACACCCTTCTTGTCTTTCAAGTATTGGTTTTTAGGGATTTGGTTGATTGGTTACAGGACTTCATTATCAGCTGACATTGGTTAGAGAACCATTGGAAAACCTGCAGGGAGTAGTGGACAGCTGTTCCCCGCTTCCTACTTTGGGACTCTTCAGCAGTATGCACCCACCGGGATTCCAACCCAGGACCTCCTGGTTACAAGGCAAGCTCGTAGATCGTTAAGCCACTGGGACCCGATCCAATGGCCGGTCCATAAATTCTAACTTCTGCCGATTCACGACATAGCGCAACCGCTAGCCAGTATCTCCGGCGAGTATTTGTCCTCACACCCGACCTGCTGCACTCTACTGGTCACGACTTCCCACTGAAACCCCAGGTAACTATCTACCTGAATGGGGCCAGTCACCAGTGAGCATCTCATTGGTATTCAAGTATTGGTTTGTAGGGATTCGGTTATAATTCATGAGCCATTGGATGCGGTCCCAGTGGCTTAGTGTACGAGCTCGCCTTGTAATCAGAAGGTCCTGGGTTGGAACCCCAGTGGGTGCGTACTGATGAAGAGTCCCAAAGTAGGGCGGGGGAAACAGCTGTCCAGTACTCCCAGGTTTTCCAATGGTTCTGTAACCAATGTCAGCTCATGATGAAATCCTGTAACCCTTCTTGTCTGTTTGTATTATTTTCTGAATTGATTTGTTATTGTACTTTGGTTTCTGAATATCGCGTAATTTCATTTTTTTATTCGACGATTGTGCGTTAACACTCGGCGAATCAGTTCCCTTCTACACTCTGCTAATGGGATTTATTTTTAAAAATGTCTTTTCACAGGAAAAAATATTTTTCATGGCCTCCTCCCCATAAATATGATTTTTCTTTACCATTATGTGTCTCTAAGTGGTATTTTTTAAAGAAAACATTTCGTCCCTTCTTATCAATCAATCGACGAAGTCGTGAAGTTACAAAGACTGAGGTGGTTATGACATGTGTTACGTATGCCAAGCCATCGCCTCCCTCGACGAGCAATGTTAGCGGATATAGGGTCAGGCTGGAAAAAAGCTAGCGGCGGTCAAACCAAAACATGGCCTCACCAGTCAATGGAATCCACAACAGTTGGTCTAAGCCACGTAGAAGGTGTAGACTTCCAGGCTGGGGTCCTCGGGACGGTAAAAATCTATGGTTGGAAACAATTGGTGACATGGCTCAAAATCGTTCTCAGTGGCGCAGATGCATCCACTCCTTGTGACTTATGATCTCCAATGAAACTGTTTTGTTCTTCGTTATTACTCCTCCTTTGTCTCACACCTCTGCTCACTGTTTCTATTATGCTTTTCTTGTACTTTCTTCCCTTGCTTCGCGTGCTACACGGAGTGTGGCGACTTGAACTTCCGCACATTTGTGCAAAGTTCTATGTCGAAAACAGACAGACAGAGACAGATCTCTTATTTTACTGAACATTCGCGTAAAATTAAAAAAAACAAAACAAGAGTCCCTTCTATTTATTCAAATCAAAATGTATAGATATTACTGATACGTTCTGGCAAGACTTTGGAGATAAGCGAGGTTGTGAATAGGTTCACTTTTATGAGCGTTGACCGTTGGTAGCTAATTTAAGTGCCTCGTTTATTGTCTTTTGATTAAAATTCATCGGCAAGGTGCTCAGTGTGATCGTCACTATAATTAAGGTGAAACATCTCAACTGGGATCTTATTTACATTTTAATTGCATAAGAAATTTGAGTGCTAGGCTATGCGCGTAATAAAGCCTATATCTTCGACAGTCAGTGCCACAGTTTGAATCTCTCAGCACAAACTTGTTCAAACACACTTTGTTGCTAAAGTTTAAGTGTCAGCCAACACGAAGACTAAATCTGTTGTCTTCCTGTTAATTGAATTCTCACTATACCTGTTTAATTGCCAAGATGTCGTGTTAGTTCCTGACTGAGTTTGTGAAAGTTTTACAGGAAAATGCCGCACAGAAGTGAAGGGAAATACCTAGGCACATAGTTGTTTTCTTGAATTTCTCTGTATTGGTGTCTCAAAAATACTTGCGTACACGTGAAAATTAGGTACAGATGATTGATGATTGTAACCCGTCATCAAACATCAAGTTCCTCAACTTTCGTTGTACATGATCGTTGTATAGTGTAGGTATAAAACATCCTTTAACTGTATTATTTTGTCATTGATATTTGATTCGCGTTTTGTTTGTTTTACCCTTGTTTTTCTTCTTAGGTTTAATTACTAGATTGATATGGGTATATCCATCTTGGAAACAAATATCCGTTGACCAATTTTATAAAAAGGCACAATATCATGTTGGTTTAGCAAAAATTAATTTATTAGAACACGAAAGTGATTTGTTCGTGACTGATATACCGATGAGTTTTACAACGTTTTGTTTGTGTACAGCATTTGAAAGTGTGTGCAGCCTACCTTTACTGTCTTTAGTAAGTTAATAATATGCATATCATCCATCTATTTTGTCTACAGATAGTAAATAACTGAAAAAATCTAAAAGTAATAATATTTCTGACTAAATAAAAACGTCTTAGAAATGTTCCAGAGCAGAATTATGAACAAGTTTTCCTGCATATTCCTTAACGATAATTTGTGCATTAAGATCTATATGGCATAAATATCATACAAAAGCAGAATAGAAAACAGCTTACTCATATGCATCCTCTTAAGTTTCGAAAGTCTACTTTTTTAAAATAACATAATATTACCGAATGTCATTTCGTCTGAAACATGCATAATCAGTAGTATGACAATCTTACATGATTAATTTACTCATCCATTGTGCAACAGTGAACCGGTAAAAATCTTAGATTGTAGCTATTCTGACGCATGACCTCACCAGGGACCGAACCCCCGGACCTCCAAGTTATTAGTCCTCACACTCGAGTTGAAGGACAACATTCCACTAGAACTCCAGACAGCTTTGTCCTGTAGTTGGTCATTAGGGAGCGCTAAAATCGAGAATTGATAGAAGTTAGAATTCATGGCACGATTGATTCCAGCCTCGTAACTTGAAGGCTTAAGCTTCAGTCCTCTGTGAAGACATGGGTGCCTGCTGCTGAAGTATCGCAAACAGGTAAGAAACAGTTGTCCACTACTTCCAGGTTTTCAATGGTTCTCTGACTGGCATAAAACTTGAAGCATATCAAAACCCTGGGAGCTAACTCTTGGAAATTGTAACAATTACTGTATGCTTTTATAAGTTCTCATTGTCAACTTAATGTCAGGGAAGGAACCATTTATTTTAACAGTAACTATACTATAGAACAGTTACCTTAAAGAACGACTGATTTTTGTGCCTTTTGTAATACTAAATAAAACAAATTGATTTGAAAAAGGTGCGTTCGAATTCTCTATTGGAAATTAAAATTAAAATCATCTAAACCACTCCACAAGTTTTCTATCCTTGACAAACTGCTCTTTTTTATAAATCAACTTGACACTATAGTTGAGTTGTAAATTCTACTCTCATTCGGAACACCGTAGCTCCCTAAGGTCCTTGTACATCCATCTGATGAGCTCAGACCAGAAGGAAACTCACTTCTTGGATTTCACTGTTCACTGTTAGCCAACATTAAATGCAATACCATCATACTACAGTTGGCTTCTTTTTGAAATGCCTTTAAAATTAGTCGTGTTTTCATGAAAGCTGTGTAATTTATTCATTGCCAATTCTTGTGTACGTCATGTAAACTGAGTACTTATTATTTATTATTATATTTAAAGGATTTTTGAGGAAAAAATGTATTATTTAATTGATTTTTAGATTTTCCCGTTGGTTGATTGGACCGAAGTGCCCTGTCTCAGGTTGACCTGTCGGCTTCTTGTGCAGGTGCTTCGACAATGTCTGGGCATGTAATTAGAAGTTAATTGGTCGATGGTGACTAGCAGTGGAATGCACGATGCGCATTTCATTCTATCTGAGACTCTCGTGGCCCAATTGGTCTAGTGGATAACGCTTTGGCGTTTCAAACAATGGGCACTGGTTTCGAGCCGCAGTAGGAACATCATAACTCACTGAGGAATGCAGGTACATCCAGATGACGAGTCCCAAATGGGACGAAATGCGCTTAATCCTGGATTCCACTGCTAGTCACCATCTACCAGTTAATAAAATGTATCTTTCTGAGTGTAGTCTGTCTAATTTTACTATTGATGAACTCTATTTTGATACAAGCGAGATATTTTCCGGACTGTTTTAATGGAATTGTTTAATTTCTGCGTCGTTTGCACAGTGGTTAGGACGCTAGCCGACCACTTCCATGACCCGCGATTCCATCCCTGGCCGACACACACCTGATATCAGTGGTCATCCTGCAAAATTTGGTCTACCTATATCACATGCTAAAAAAATTCCATACTTGTATCAAAAATACTGTGTGGAATCAAGCTACAATAAAATAAAAATTATTGTTGGTGTGATGCTGTTGAAGTATATGTATAATCTAGTGAACTTTATACACTTATTTAATTGTAATATATCTTAATTTTTTTATATATTTTACATTACAGCCTAATTTACGTATATCAAGACAATCATGTTCAGTGAATGGTAGTTTTATCTACGAAGAAGTTATTGACCTGATGGTTGAATCATTACTTTCAGAAGAGAAAACCAAAGATATAACAAAAGATTCTATTTATGTATTTTCACGTACAAGTTTTATCCACTCAGATAATATAATTTCATCATCATCATCCAATAGATTGACACCATGGTTTGATAATCCATTTATATTACACATTGATTTGAATTATTTCATTGGCTCTGTTACTAGTCCTAATCTTGTGACTGTTTCATCAACAATAAATGTCACTTCGCCTTCTCAATTAGCTCCTGCATTTATTGAATATCTTCATATAAATACACTCAATGAAAGTAATAACAGTGAAAATAATAATAATAGTAATAAAGAAAACACACAAGGGACTCTGCCTAATGATGACAATGATTACTACAATTTGGATGATGTTGATTATTTCTATATAGTCATATTGACCAAATGTTAAACGCTTCTTCTCTTCACCACCATCATCATCGAAGAGACCCAGCTCTTATTCATCAGGTTTGTTTAAATTGCTTCTTCTTTTTCGATGACATGAGGATGTTATTTACGGCACATAGGAATTTATTATTACTATTATTATTCCCTTTAATTCCTAGAGGAACATGTAGCTTCAGCCCCGTGTTTCCATTGCATTCGGTTCTCTGCTAGAGTTTTCACCTGGCTCGAAGTCTGCCCACATGCTTTCATCTCCTCGTCACATGACCTCCTCCAAGTCATCCTTGCACTGACGACCAATTCGCCGCTTCCCTTTCGGTTTCCATTCGAGCAATGGCTTGTCTAGTGATGTCACTTGATGGCTTCCTCAGAGTATGGCCAGCCAATCCATCTCCATTTCTTCCTGCCTATTTGTTGCACAATAGGTTCCTGCTGTGTTGGTTCGCTCATTGCTAGAGATCCCTGTTGCTGATCTTTTCTATTTCTGCTAACAGCAACATGCTGTAGTAGTCTATGACACGTCTCATCCACCTGTCTCATATTTGAATCTATGCTTAAACTGCATTACATGTTGGGTTCGGGCCAAAGTAAAAAGTATAGTGGAGATGATAATAGTCAAATAGAATATATCCCACGACTCTACCTTTAGTGAATTTTCCTAAGTCGTTTACTAAGAAAGTAAACTCTGGTGAGGAGTACACTAAATTTAAATGGTCGACGAATTATGTTATTCATACCATGATTTGCTCAGCTGGACGACATACGACCAAATCTTTTGTATTCGTTTTCCGATCCCACCACCCATTAACTGAATGAGTCTGATGAATCTCTTCAGGTAGTAGAAATACCCCACTGTTGTATGCTGAAACGGCACAACAAAGCCAACTGCTTTTGAAATCAAGATTTCCATGCACTTAAGTGGTTATAATGGAAACTCACATCAAGCAATCGTCATCTGATATATCCAGCATACTTCACTCCTTATCAGCCTCTTCCCACGTCAACTGACGAATTTATAGCTCCTATACCCTCAACTTATGTTAGGAGGAAAGTTAATGTCTCCATTAATACATCTGCGATGAAATTTTTAAAAAAATCGACTTTGAGAAGGTGGACATCTTTCAGGAATACTTTACGACAGAGAGACTTAGCTAGGTAGCCTATCATAGGCTCATCCATTTGTGATTTTGTAAAGTTGCTTCTCATGTTCTATACAGTTAATACAACATTTGGCCTATGTACTCAGGCTAAACAAAGTTTGTGCACGGATATATTTTCAAGGCAATAGTTTATTCTCGAAATATCATCAGTTAATATTACTGCACAACACTGTGTGATTTGTCACAATAAAGTCTTATCCATAATGGAGTTACACTCTACCATAGTGCCCAAGTTTTATACTTTTATCGATAATACATTTTAATAGTCTCTCATAATGTCATTGTTTCCTCTAGTTGAAGTATCTTTTGCATAAATTCTAGTAAAAAAAATATGCTGTCTACTAAATATAACGAATTGTGAATCTTTTCGAAATATTGGGGGTCTACTTTTCGTGTTTGTTTTTACTTGTTCCTTCAAAATTTTGATTTTCACCTGCTGTTTTACACATTTGATTTTTGGCACTTTTTTCTCTAAAGCGTAAATTCAGTCTTCTATAAAATGTTGCACTTTATGACTATCATAATCTTTTCTTAATATAATTATGGGATCTTCAGGTAAAAAGTATCATACACAATATTGTTACCTTGGTTGATGCACAGTAGTTGGACACTCGTGGAGTTATGTCACTTTTCTGCATTAATGCTTTCTTTTTTCCCGAGATTTGTAACCATGGTGATCTCGAAAATCAGTATTTGATAATCGAGACAAATACAAACAGTCTTTTCATAATATTGATTTTATGTAACTGTAGCTTACACATATTTCAAATCTTTAAATATTTCCATTGTTGATATTACAATAAGACATATAAGCGAATAATATTGTGGTTTTCAATTAGATCTTCTTTGGATTTTACTCTAACTTACGTAGATTTATATGTAGAACTTTTAACTGATGACGGTGAGTTTGTGGATCAAATAATAATAATTTGTCCAGTGTTTTGAACGTCAGTAATAATAATGATAACAAAAATAATGATAATAAGGTTTGTTATACGCATGTGGTGATAAGAATAACGGAGTTAGTAATATGTCTGAGTAGACGGTTCAATAAATAAATTAGATTAAATCTTAAAAGTTACGTAATACTAAAGATCAAGTGGACAGATAATCAGAGTTTAAATAATTATCAAATTTAACGGCCTCTGCGGAGAAAGCTATATAGGGTGAACAACTAGACTGATCAACAGACATCTTCCTTCATGATAACAAAAAGGCCAAGCAAAATCTATAAGAAGTTCCATTTCGCCTCATTCGGTTAATAGCGGTAACCAAGTGGATAGAAATAGTGCCTTCAAAGTTATCTATAGTATTACATCAAACCTTCCTAACGGAATTCAAACCCGCCTTTTATACATAGCCGAAGCTATGGGAATTCGAGAGAACAGTCCTAGTCTTTGCATACAACAAGAGAAGTTTGTTCTACGTTTGTCTCTCCCTTGACCTAGATAAAATCTAATTAAAACCCTCTCACTCTTTATTATTTTCCGTTTCCTTCGTATATTAATGATATTTATTTAAACTCTGATTATCTGTCTGCTTCACCTTTAGTATTACATGACTTTTAAGATCTGACCCAATTTATCTATTGAATTATCTACATATATGCATATTACTACCTTCTTTATTCTTATCGCCACCTTTCTATCATTATTACCATTACTTTTCTTACCATTATAATTAGCGTCATGACACACTTCTCAGTCTGTCTCTTGTGTGCATTTCGAATTGTGAGGGCGTTTGTTACTTCCCGGCTGCTCACACCGTGGAAGTTGGTTGCGTGACCGCTGAGCCCAGCGAACAACTGCTTTGAGCCGGTGACACGCGGCCTGCTTTTGTTTTGTGTGTCTCGGTATCATAATTATCACTCCTGCCCTGTGACACGGCAGCAGGAAGCGCGGTCGTTGTTAATCCGGGCCACGGCCGATCCGGCATGAAATTTTGTGAATTTGTTTGAATCATGGTATTGGATGGGGTAGCTGCTTTTTGTTTAACCGCTATCCAAACAACCTGCCTGGCATGGTAGAACCTCAAGAGACATAAGTCTCAGCCAGTATAGCTTGATTCGGTCATTGCGGTGTTCAAGCCCGACCACCACGTCAAGGTAGCAGCTTTCGGTCGGGACACTTCTCAGTATTTCTCATTTGTATAGATGCCATTTACTGATAAATGCTCTTCTGAAGGTTCCCATAATGTATCAATAGGTTTTGAGATTACTGTGCAATCACGCTATTTTGAATGTCAATATGTACCATGATCAAATGTTGCACACAATATTTAATACCTATTATTTGTCATCGTTTGTGAATTTTCAGCAGTACGCAGTACTCAACCAGGATCTTCAGGTCACTAAGCGAGCTCATAGACACACACTGCCACTGGGATGCGATCCATTGGCGTATGATTAAACAGCCAGTTGCTTTTGTTTTCGTTAAATGTATTAATTTTTTAGTGTTATTTTCTACTTAGTATTTTTATTTACACAAACTGTTATTTCGTTTACTAAAGTATGTTGTTCAGTTTCTTTCTCACTTAATTCACAGAAGTTAGTTTTACGTTTTGCTTTTATATATATATATATTTCCCCCTTATTTTTAGTACATAACACTAGTCAAAAATCTGTTCAACAAACTCTTTAAATTTCGATCAATTGAAAAAATTCATCTACTTGATAAATTGAATCAACTTATTAGTGCAATGCTGCTGCTTATGAATCCACAAAATTCAAATATGCTGTCAAATTGGTCGAATGAAACATTACTATTACATACAGCGTGTTGTACACCATCATCCTTTGAACCACTTCTATTTGATACAGATATAAAAGTTAATATATATAATCAATGGAAAAAGAATTTGCATTTTGCATTTTATTATGTAGATAATTATTGTTCATATTCTACAGAAATTATTAAAAAACTCTTGAGCTTGTCTCTTGTAAGTAGACTTTTTCCGTCTTTTTTTTTCTTTTAATTTTATTTATTATTTTATAAGTGTGTATTGTGTGCGTTGTTGGTTCAGTAGCAGAATCACTGCCAACCATATGCATGGTCAGGTTTCAATTCCTGGCCGATACACTCCTAAACCTCGCCTAATTTACCGTAAAACATCACCAACTCTACTTAGACTTCAAAGATTGAAGCCCCATGTTAAACATGAATTTCAAGGAATAGAAAAATGCATAATATCAATGTAATTACTTTTTTCTTTTCCACAAATTATTTTTTTAGGTCTTTTAATTAAAAGGACTTTAGATTTCCTCATGCTTGCAGATATTGCTAACCTGTCCATAAAAACTGTTTGTGATAGATTTATCCTAATAGTCAGATAGTTACCTTCGTTGTACTTGGTTTCAACATAAAATCCTAGATAAACTGGAACTGACTAATTGTATTATGCAGACTTAACAAATTTAAGCATTTCGAGATGTGTGATCTCGTGTAAAACAATGGTAGGAATATTATTATTATTATTTTGATTGGACACCAGTAACTAGTGTTATGTGTCTAGTCCTTTCTTTGGTGCAGCCTGAATTCTATCAGTTAGGCTTGCCTTGCTGATGAGTGCCAACTAGCACGAAACCTAGGTCCAAGGCTTCCTGCCGATTGCCTCCAACCATCTAATATTTTTATTATTATTCCTTTGGATTCTGGGCTGAACATAGGGTTTCAGCAACACATGGCCATTTCACTTTGTTGTCTGCAATCTTTTTAGCTGACCCTACGATTCCCCATGAGCTGTCATCTCCTAACACGACCTCTTTTGTGTCACCCTCAAACGTCCACCTCATCGTTCCCCAATATAGTTCCATCCAAAAGCCCAACATTTGCTGTCACTCAAGGGTATCCTCTACATGTGTCCGATTCGTCAGCATTTACCTCTGCATATTTGTTGTACGATAGGTTGTTGATTGGTTCGTTACCAGAGTTCTTTCCTGCGAATCTTTTCCAGCTATCTGATATTCAGTTTTGAACGAATTTTGCTGTTGATAAAAGTCGACAGTCTATTTGAAATACTATTCGTGAGGCTCACGACATTTCTGAACCATATAGAAGCTTGAATATCGTCATGTTTCTTCACATTGTTATTTTCAAGTGTATTTCTTCAGCTAAAAAAATGTACCACATATTTAAGTCATCATGAATATCTGTAGTTTAGGAAATACTTACTAACTTGTGGTGGAAGTATATACGACCTTGAGTTTTTTGATGAACTTTCAGTGGTATACAGGTCATTATTTTCAGTGTGACTTAAGAGGGAATTGAGTGGGTTTTTTTCTTAAGATCACTGATTCCTTGTATTTCATTTGATTATATTCATCAGTTATCTGGTTTTCAATCTTCAAAAATATCCAATTCATCAAGGTTTCAAGTGTTTTTGCTGATAACTTGTTGGGAAAAAATAATACGGAATTGGTTTGTTCCTTTTTTGAACAACCCACGAAACTATAATATCATATATTTTGATTAAAAAAACCTTATTAAGATTTGAGTTTAGATAGAGATCGTCTTGAGTGTGGCAATTTCCGCATATACTGTCTATAACTGTTTGGTCTTTAGGCTTACACTATTTTTGCGTTGCATTAATATACTGTGTTATGATAACACAATTATTCTTCATAGTTTCAGGACAACGAATTAATCATTTACGTATTTTCTACCATTCGCTTTTGAACCAAAATGCCTGGCGCAGCAACTACTGATGTACAATGCAGCTTGATGCATTTCCTATATACAAATAACTATATAAGGGAAATCTCTTTAACCAAATTAGATTTGTATTCAGTCTGTGGTTAAGCTGCTTAGCCCAATGCATGCTATATGGTGCTAATACAGCAGAGATGGCGAGTTTGAGTCTATTTGGTGGAATGCTTTAATCACTGGGCTACCTATATTTCAATCCAAACTTTCTCTATATCAGATTGTTTTAACTATTCAGTTATGTCTTTGGGTTACAGAATGTACTCCTGCACATTTTTAATTAACTTTCAACTTATCCGTAGGCTCATCTGGGAGACAAAAGCAAAACACCATAAGGGATTAGATTTTGCTTTAGATCGAACAACATTGTGCCACATGATACAAGACAGACTGCCATTTTATGATGTAGATCCTGGTTGAATACAAAATTTATTGTTGTAAATTGCATTGAGAGTTCTATACATTGTGTAGACATTTTGTCCAAAATAAAGTCACTGTGGAATGCAGGTACATCCAGAAAATGAGTCCCCAGTGGGACGAAATGCCCATCCTGAATTCCACTGCTAGTTACCATCCAGCGAGGCGTTTGGAGTAGACGAGGAGTCAGACAAGGGTGCTTATTATCACCAATGATATTTCTAATTGTGGTGGACTGGATTATGCGTCAAACAGTGGGAAACGAGAAGACAGGGATATCCTGGACCGACGTGAAGAACCTATAACTCCATTGTGGATAAGATTTTATTTTTATAAATCACACAGTGTTCTACAAAAATAAAATCTTATCCATAATGGAGTTATACTCTGCCACAGTGCCCAAGCCTTATACTTATATCAATCTAGAAGACCTGGATTTCGCGGATGACCTATGTTTGATGTCACACAAAATTGAAGACTTACAAGCGAGCGAAAACCGACAAACTGGTCGAAGAAGCAGCCGGCGAAGACAGGACTACAAGTGAACATAGACAAGACGGAGGTTATGAAAATAACCAACCAACAAGAACAACAGCAGCAACATCCAGCGCCAATCATCATCAATAGGAGGGATTCGAAAGGGGTTACTTCATTCACCTATCTAGGGAGCATTGTCTCAACTACAGGAAGTCGGAACAGACGAGTATGTCAAATCGAGCGAGAATCGGGAAGGCAGGCGAGAAACACTTTCATCAACCAACTGAAACCAATCTGGAAATCTTCATCACACAGTAAAAACATGAAAATTCGGTCGGATTTTCAATCCAAACACGTCAAGTCAGTCAGTTCTTCTATACGGATCAGAAACTTGAAGGGTCACAAGGAATATATCCAACAGGCTGCAGACGTTCATCAACAACTGTCTTCGCTGGCTCTAGACTGAAGATCAGATGTCCGGGTCGGAAAAAATTACCAACAAGAAACTATGGGAAGGAACAAACAAAACGAGAACCAATCACCAACCGACAAATATTCAGGAGAAAGTGGAGATGGATCGGACACTCGCTGAAGAGGCCGCTGGGTGACATCGCATATCAGGCAATTGCTCGAGTGGAACCAGGCCGAAAGGGAAGTGGCGAGTGGGACATCGGTGCAAGCGTGACATGGAGGAGATCGTTTGAAGAGGATTTGAAGCAGTATGGACTAACATGGATGCAGGTGAAAAGTACAGCAGAAGACAGAAGCAAGTTGGGACGTGCAGTTGATGCCCTATGTTCCACCAGGAAGGGAACAATAATAATAATAATTAACTTCTATTATTATTTTTAACCTAAAATCTTCATTATCACAACAGTTGAGAGAAGACGGTATAGTATTTTTGTCGTCAATGATTTATAACTACTTCAATCAGTCACCCAGTCAACAGTATATGTTATCCTGCAATTATAGTATCTTTAAATGTAGATTTTGCTTATTTTGCTTGCTTTTTTTTGCTTCACTAATATATTTTATTCTTTCTGTCTTCCTCTTTTCAAAGGGTAATTTTCATTCTAAAGAGGAAATATTCAATTTATGGAATTGGTTGTGTAGTTTAACAAAAGCTCAGTTAAAATTTATTGGACAATTTCTACTATGTACTTATCAAAGTAACAGTAATACTCATTCACTTGGTCTATGTGAACGTCAAAAGTCTGCAATCATTTCATTTAGTGGAATACCTATTATCCAGCGAAATTCTTTAACTCTGCATAGATTAAAAAATATTTTCACTTATTTACCACGTCCAGTCATTGTAAATGTAGTCATGTGAGTTAAGTAGTGGTAGTAGTAGTACTCTTTGTTTTATATACATGAACAAATAAACTGACTCAAATCTTTATGATGAAAAGAAAACTTCTCATGATACAAACTGTCATCACTTGACTTTTATTTATTTCATTACGTTCCCAGTGGAAAATAGGGCTTCAAGCTAGAGGTTTGCAGTTTCGGTAGCACGGGTGTTTATTACTACACAATGGAGTTGCTAGCCTCGTGTCCAACCTTTCCTCTTTACCAGTATTATTTCTTTCTTAGCGAGGCAAAGGAGTGAGTCAATCGGGGATCGAACCCCAAACCACATGAGGCATGGTTGGCCATCATTTCTACAGCTGTTCCACTGACGCTGATAACTTGACTCGTTAAATACTCTACTTACTCCTTAGTCTTAAAACTTGTCTTTTGTTGCAATGGACAAATTCCTTTTTTAATAACTGTCCACAATGTTTATATATGTATGTGTTATATTTTCAAAGAGAAAAGAGTAGAAGGCTCAACAAAGATTGTCTTTTCGATGATTTCATCCTCAAAAGCTATATATTCTCATTTTTCTACATACATTTCCACATAGTTACAATTATTATTCATTTCAATATACTAACAGAGGTATGACAATATGGATTTAGATCACCAGGAAGCATAGAAACAAAATTATATATGATTAGAAAGTCATTGCGTAACATGTAATATAGTTTCTTTGTTTTTTTTTCTAACGAGGATAAGTGTAAACGGGATGTAACAACAACGAACTCATTATTCAGAGTGAACAGAAATCTACCAAAGCTAATGTATTTTCGACTTTTTCTACTTCGGAAGTCCCTACCATATGCATTAGAACAGCTGAAGTTGTGTTCAAAAGAAACTAGATCAACCTCTTCATTTACCATGAATCTGATTCTGTTTGGGTTCTTAGTTTTTAATAATAATAATAATTTGCCTTATTTCAAAACAGTACTTGTGATACAGAATGGAATTCTCAGCATTTTCCTACAGCACTGCATCCAGTTAGCACATGAACAATAAATAAAATTCTACATAGATGAAGGTTATCTCAGTCAGTTTTGACAACAACATAGTGGCATGTCGTCGCGTTTTTTACTCATCCCTTCTTTTTTTCACCTTTAATCTCGCTTCTTTACTATGCTGAATGTACAGCTTTTGAGGATGATCTCTCCGGAAAGATATCCTTGCTGAGTTTCTTATTCTTTTCTACCTAATGTTGTATTTGCATTCTTAAATTATATTACTTAAACATATTTATCATTTCGCTAACGGCTTAAAAATGTTAATCATAAGATATGTTATTCAGATAATTTATGTTAACATATTAGCATAGTGATTAGTAGTTAAAAATGGGTCTATATGACACGAATATTAATCAAGAAATTTAAGAACAAATTTACTTTGGTGATAACACGGATAGTGTAAAAATTTCACCAAATAGTCAATGAAATTAATGACCATATCACCATTACTATTAGTATAAATGGAAAAAAATTGGTGGTAATAGTTAAAGAGATATTATTGATGCAAGTAATATTAACAGATTAAAATGGGTTGATGTCAGTATGAATCAGACAATAATACGCACGATTTGATTGATCAACTGACTGGCATATTAGCGTATAAATTTACACAAAATTGCTTGACCTCATGCAGATACATTTTGAGAAAGTATACAACAAAGTAGAGGAAGACAATGAATTTAAGGAAACTACAATAAACTAAGATTAACATATGAGATAAGATTAGTAAGGTCTCAGGATTTCATCATGAGCTGACATTAGTTGGAGAACCATTGGAAAACTTGGCAGTACTGGAAATCTGTTTCGTCCTAGTTTAGGACTCTTCAGCAGTACGCACCCATCGGGGTTCAAACCCACGACCTCCTGGTTACAAGACTATAGAGCTAGCTCGTATAGCATTAAGCCGCTGGGACCCGATCCAATGGCCCATGAGTTCTAACTTCTGCCAGTCCACGACATAGCGCAACCGGTAGCCAATGTCTTCGGCAAGTATTTGTCCTCACACCTGACCTGCTGCACCCTACTGGTCACGACTTGAATATTAGTGAGGTCTTCCAGAATCTTTCAAATCAAAGCTTTTTCATCCTTTTTCGGTTCTCAGTGTTTAGTGGGTTTATCCGTTGCTGGCTTTATTTGTTTATGATAATGAAAAGGCTTTCTAAGTCAGATTCACAATTATCATCACTCTAGATGTAATTGTTCTCTATCTGTCAAAGTTTGAACAATCCACTAAGTGTTAATGACTATATCAAAAATAGGTATCTGTCGTAACCTTTTATTCGACAGCATGCTACTGAAGCACTTCACAATATTAACACCTCCTTTGGGCTTCGATACTAGCAAAAACTACTTCAAGTTTGGTTACAGATTAATGTCAGTTAGACAACCTTTGAAAACTGGGGAGTACTGCATATCCCCAGTTTGGAGCTGTTCCGCAGTAAGCATCAATAACAACACTGAGGGTTGGACACGTGGTAAGCCATTTGCTTATTCCTCCACTGGGACGGAATCCAATGGTCCATAAACTCTAAATCTTATCGATTCGCGAATGCTAGTACCACCGCAATCCAATGTCATCGCTAGGTATTTGTTGTCTCATCCGACCTGGTGTACCCCACTGGTCAAGAATTCTCACTAGAACTTATAGAACTCTGTCCTGTACTCAGTCATTAGTGTGCATCATATTAATTTTCAAGAGTCACATTCATCATCAATAAGGCTATTTCATGAATAAAATGTATCTGAATAACACAAATATACAACCATCTTACCCGATTAGACGAATAATCGACTAACTGGGTAACAGTTAAAAGTGTTTAAGTTATAAATGAAGAACACAAGGACCTTAGTTCCAACAAAATTCTATAGCTTGTTTAAATTGTTCAAGTCGAAGTATTCCATGACTTTCGATGAGTCTAATTCCGGAAAACCTATCATTCTGTATGCTGATAAATGAATGAACAATAGATAATAAAAATTTAATAACTTGAAGTTATTTTCGCCGGTGGTGGCTAGCAGTGGAATTCAGGATGCGCTTATGGTCCGAACTGGGACTCGTCTGCTGGGAATATCTGTATTCTCACTGGTCACTTTCATGGGCTAGTAGATAATGCTATGGCGTTTTGAAAGATGGGCACATGATTTGAGTTTCAGTGCAAACACCATCATTCACTGGGAATTCAACTACATCTACCTGACGAGTCTCCCAAATAGGACGAAATGTGCATAACTGAATTCCACTGTTAGTCACCGCCAACCAAAACAACTTCACTTTAACCCTTATACATCGTTGGAGTGTCCGATATATTCAACTACCCAATCAACATGAATGTAACATTAACTTAGACACAAACTTTATAACTTGTCTGTTGATCTTGCCTTTGATATTAATAAGGATATGTGTTATTTTTGATAATCTCCCCCATTCCTTTCTCATAAACTTTTTTAAATCTTCATTTTAGGCATCCGTATTTGGGACGAGTTATTCACAAGATCCACTTACCACATGAACTGTGCAATATGCTCAATCAAACTTATTCCAATTAAACAAGTGCAATTCATTGATTTCTCATCTAATCTCCAGAGAAATAATAAACATATTTCCTTGTTTCAAACATTTTATTTCTCCCAAATTATTATTATTATTACTATTTTTTCTCTAACGATTTTATTTCCGTTTTAATATAATGGAGATCATTACCCTTCAGTAAACTGATGTTGTTGTTCTTGGTGTTGTTTTATTTTTTTTCACATTCACCACTTATTGATCAATCATTTTCATCATAATCATCAAACATACTTTGTCTATGTGTTTGTGCAAAACTAAAAGCACCTGAAAATTACTAGTCTAAAAAGAGAGAAAAAAACAGAAGTTATTTTCCTCCTTTATTTCTTTTTCTCATAATCATTCCATGAGATTTGTACTTTTTCTTTACATGAATGATCACCAACCCTCTCCACCCGTCCACCGCCATCGTTATCATGCACTCTTCACAATTTGTTTTCTCACCTATGCTCTCTATCTTGTACATAAATGTACGTTTCTTTTATCTTACCATCCTTATCATGTATTTGTTTTTGATTGGTTCCCAAAAAGGAGTACTACATCATACATCTGAACTTTGCAACATTGCATCAATGTGAACCCGCATAAGATGAAACTTTGGAACGTTATATATCTGTCGCCATCCTGTCACTCTCTGATAGAATCTAACAAAATGTGTTTTTGTAAATTTTGTTGATTCGGTAAACAGATTGGCAGTCATCTGTTTTATGTTAAGCTTTCAAATGTGCGGACGTGTAAATATAATTAGAAGTCGATGACATGCTGATGATGTTCCATCGAGTTATATTACTATTGATTTTACTGCTTTTAAGCCTTTTTGGATGAATAATTGAATTAAAGGTAGACATATCGCATTTTAACTAAGCGCTATGCAGTTATATTCAAGACATTTAAGCAATGTAAAAATATGTAAACATTTTAGGCTTCATAATATAGTTAATAAGACATCGGATGAAAACTATGTCTGTCTGGATTCAACATAGAACTTGGCACCGAAATGCAGCAGTTCCAGTTGCCACGTTCCAAATAGCACACAAAAGTAGACAAGAAGATAAGTGAAGAGAATCAATAGAGTTTGACAAGTATACGAGTGAAACAGAATGGGTAATTGTAGAAAGAAATATGAAAGATTACAGAGACTGAATAGATCTGCGCTGACCACTGACAACGATTTTGAGCCATGTCACCTATTGTCTCCAGCCATTGATTCCTAGAGTCCCGAGGGCCCCAACCCGGAAGTCTGCATCTCCCTCCCTACCTGACTCAGTCTAACTGTCAAGGATTTCATGGATTGATGAGGCCATGTTTTTGTTTGGCCACCACTTACTCTTTTCCAACCTGCACCTATATCAGCTAGTAATGCCCGTCGGGCGGGGAAGGGGGGCGATGGTTAGGCATTCGCACCACGTGATCTAGCCATCTCAGTCTGTGTAACTTTATAGCCTCGTCGATTGATTTTCCCTGTTTGCCCAACACTACGCCTGACGTCAACTATGTGTACAAATCAAACTCTATAACTTTGGGTAGGTTCTATTGTGGTGAGAGCAGGCTGCTAGCCGATTGGTTGGCACTAATCTACGTTAATGTCTAGGTCACTAATATTGGCCGTGAACAAGGCTGTTTCAACAACCAATCACAGCAAACCTAAATGTGGACAAATATGATTCGCAGATAGATGGCTCTACTTTCCGAGAAATATCGAACACAACCAATCATAAGACTGTGTTTGTCTGCTTAACTTCCGAGAAACAACCAATCAGAAGACTGCCTTTTTCTGCTTGCATAAGCCTTATTAATGCATATAAAATATATATAAATACGTGTTGATTTTCGTAATAAAACGATCTGTTGCCAGCCCTTGTCTTCTGTTGTTACATTTGGTGTCGCTGCCTCCAAGAAGATGAAGATCCCGTGGCCAGCTGCGTTTGAAGAAGGAGACATACGGAGCTTCTTACGTGACTTCGAAGCCGTTGCTGAGCTGGTGGGTGTCAAGGAGCAGGCGGCGAAGGCAGTTGTCCTGGGGACGCTGTTGAGAGGCCGAGCGAAGGCTGCATATGACAGCGTAGACAGGTCAAATGGCACAGCGTCTTGGAAGAAATTGGTTGAACGACTAGTGTCCGAGTTTGACAGCGAAACAGACAGACAGCTAGCAATGCAGCAGTTCCGGTCAATGAAGCTTGGACCTGATGGAGACCCGCTAGTGTTGGCGGTGAAACTGACTAATCTACTTCGACGCGCGCTTCCCACTTTAGATGAAGAATCAGAAGCGCAGTTACTGTCTTCCCAATTCATCGAGAGTGTCCCCGACCACATTTCTCAGCGATTAAAACTGGTTAACGCAACGCAGCCGATGGATATTAGTGAGCTGGCGAAGGTGACCAGACAGCTGCTGAGCACAACGGTAGCCGCTATAGACCAACCAAAACCAAACGAATATGAGCAAAAATTGAAGCATTGCAGCGGGAAGTGGCGGCGTTAAAGTTGGCTGATAGAAAAGACCGGTGTTTTGAATGCGGTAAGCCGGGACACTGGAGAAGATACTGCCCAGAAAGGCGAAAAAGAAAAAATTTCAGACGGTATAATGCTTGTTCTTTCTTTCGTATGAACCTAGGTTTAGTGGGGGCTATTGAGAAAGGCGCTCTGTATTCGAAGTTGCGAGTGAATGATCGAGAAGTAGTATGTTTGATAGATACAGGGCGGCCGTGTCGTTAATAGATAAGAATTTATGTAAGAGTGTTAATCCGTGTTCATTGACAGTACAAACAGTAGGCGGGTATGTGTTGCGTATCACGGGTAGATCGAACTGTACGGTCGTTGTTGGTGGCTGCGAGGTGACGTTTCCTTTCATTGTTGTACCCGAACTACAGCGAACGATATTAGGAGCGGATTTTCTGCGTGAGATTGGTGCCATAATCGACACGCAAGCGAACGTGGTGATCACGAAATACGGGCATATCAACATGTATGAGACCAGCGAGATAGCAGCGATTAAGCTGTCGACGGTACACAATGTGACAGAGTTAATTAATAAATACGATCATCTGTTCACTGGAGATGGGACCCATACGGTTATTGCGATAAGGTGAATCATGAAATTCCGTTAAGTGATCCTAAAGTAAGGTCATTTTTAACGCGAAGAGTTCCATGTCATCTGGAAGGCGAAGTGGAGCGACAAGTGCAAGAGATGTTAAAAGATGATATTATTGAGGAAGCTGATAGCCCATACAACTCTCCAGTGCTGTTAGTAAAAAAAGCGAATGGGAAATATAGATTCTGTGTTGATTTCCGACAGTTAAACAGTATGACAGAGTTAAGACCGTGTGCCATGCCAACAGTGATAGAAACCTTAGATCGACTACAAGGTGCGAATGTGTTTTCGGTTCTCGATCTTCGCTCAGGATACTGGCAGATACCGATAAAACAAAGTGACAGAGATAAGACGGCTTTCATCGTGGGTCAGACGCAATATCGATTTAAACGCATGCCGTTTGGACTAGCAGGTGCACCGTTTACGTTCAGGCGACTGATGAAGCTATTACTTAAGAACTTGAAAAACGTGGAGGTTTATGGTGATGATCTCGTCATATACAGTCAGAACGAAAACGATCACGTCAACCATGTAGAAGCCGTGCTGCGACGCATCGAAGAGTTTGGACTACGCGTCAACAAAACCAAGTGAAGTGTAGAGACAGGAGATATACAGTTGGAGGCGGGCTAGGTTCACGGAAACTCCTTCCAAAGTGGGAAGGACCATACACAATCACAAAAAGACGGGGTCAAGTATATACCATCCGAAGAGGTGATAAACAGAAACGAGTTAACGCCAGTCAGCTACAAAGATGGGTACAGTGGGACAAGCCGGTCAGTAACAATCCTCAACTAGAGGATGTAGCACCCAGAAGGTCGGAACGTCTGCGCACAAAGCTATTTGACGGGGGGACGAGTGTGGTGAGAGCAGGCTGCTAGCCGATTGGTTGGCACTGATCTACGTTAATGTCTAGGTCACTAATATTGGCCGTGAACAAGGCTGTTTCAACAACCAATCACAGCAAACCTAAATGTGGACAAATATGATTCGCAGATAGATGGCTCTACTTTCCGAGAAATATCGAACACAACCAATCATAAGACTGTGTTTGTCTGCTTAACTTCCGAGAAACAACCAATCAGAAGACTGCCTTTTTCTGCTTGCATAAGCCTTATTAATGCATATAAAATATATATAAATACGTGTTGATTTTCGTAATAAAACGATCTGTTGCCAGCCCTTGTCTTCTGTTGTTACACTATTAGATGAGAAACTTTGTGGTGAAAAATACTAAACTGATATGCTGGTGAATGAATGAATTTACACTCACGTTTCTTTCAGAATAGCTTTTTCAATTAATTTCAGTGATGGCTGTTCTGAATTTCGAACGATGTATAAACATTGTTTTACTGAAGTGCATAACATCTCTAGCTTCGATTGCAGGTTTTGTGACTGGAATTTTTCTCCTAGCTGGAATTCTTTCAGTGATATTCTAGTTATCATCTACTGAAACTTGATCAGACCGCGAAGAGTACTACCTCACAGATAACTTCAATCATAACAAAGAGAATTAGTGCCTACATGGATGAGTGCATGTGTACTTGTCATTATGAAGTATAAGTGATCTAGATAATAATTGCTATCTTGTTATTAGACGGCTGGAGGAAATTGGAAGGAAGCCTTGGACCTAGGTTTTGTGCTTGTAGACAATCACTAATCAATAAGGCGTCGGTGGTATAGCGGTTAGGACGTTTGCCGACCATGCATATGGTCCGGGGTTCGACCCCCGGCCGGCGCACTCCTTTACCTCACTGAGCCAGAAATAATGCTGGTAAAGAGGAAAGGTTGGGCATGAGGCTAACAACCCCATCCTGTAAAAATTAAACACTGCTACAGAAACTTCAAGCCACTAGCTTGGAGCCCTATGTTCCACTGGGAACGTGAAGGAAAAAT